AGAGCGGAATAGACGTTATGAGCCAATAGACAGCGCAGAAAAGACTAACAGGAGGCCCTTGGTCGGGTCTTCCCTATGCTACACACACACGAAATGCAGCTCATTTGACAGATAGCTTCCCTGGTACAAACACATAAAACACCGAGACAGGAATATCAAAGGTTCAAAGTCATTCTTGGCTGCACACTGGAAGGTCCAAAACTGAGTTCCCCTTTGGGGGCGGGTGGTCACACACTGGAGCATAAAGGTTGAGTCTCAAAACTGTGTAAAGCTACCAAGAAGAGGCACCATGGTGGGAACCTGCTGGATCCACAACTCACGGAGACATTTTGCTTTTTTACAGTAAGGAACGGGGGACGTTTCCTGCTCTTCAGCCCAATGGGGCCGCTAACATTGAGGAGAAGGAATCAGTGCAGTAGAGAAGTTCAGGTGAATGGATAACAAAAACAACAACAACAACAAAAAAACTCGTTATGAGCGCACAGTGGAACTCTATTCTGGTGTAATGAAATATGTAATTTTCAGGGAAAAGAATGGAACTGTAAAATATTAGATTAGGTGGCCCAAACTCAGAAACAGCTCATTTCGAGCTGAACTTCTAGTTCTAGGCATGCGTATTTATGTGGTAGTGATTATGAACAGAGGCAGGAAGCTAGCTAGGGACCATGAGAGGGAGGGAAAGAGGCCTCCACAGCGGGAGGGTGAGGGGTACAGTATAACATGCCATATAAAATAGAAGGGAAATGCTGGGGCTGGACGGGTACAAGCTGGGGAGGGGAGGAAGAGAAGAGGGCCCAGGCTGGGGGAAAACTCAGCAAAAACTCTCTATGCAAACGACACGAGAAAACCTGTTACTTTCTATGCTGGCTACAAAATGGAACCAACCTTTGGCATACAATGGCAGATGGCTCACTGGGTAAAGGCACTTGCTGCAGAGGCCTCGCAACCTGGGTATGATCCCCGGAACCCATGATAGAGGGAAGAGAGTTCACTCCTAAAAGTTTTCCTACAACCTTCCTGGCAATAGCATGTGTGCACCTACACTCAACCATATATGCCATACGCACATGCTCACACCCATGAATATAAGCACACACATGCACATATAACAAAAATAGAATAAGTTTGGAAGTATGACTTATGAATACGCACAAGAGGGAGTAAAGGGGAGATGTTAAATATTCCTGACTGTACTGATATCTGCTTGGATTAACCAACAGCCACAAGGCTCAATTCCGTTGTGTAGTCGATATTAGAGGAACAGTGGGTTTCAGGGGGGGATGAGAAGAAACGGTGAAAGCTGGGCGATGGTGGCGCATGCCTTTAATCCCAGCACTCAGGAGGCAGAGGCAGGCGGATCTCTGTGAGTTCGAGACCAGACCAGCCTGGTCTACAAGAGCTAGTTCCAGGACCGGCTCCAAAGCCACAGAGAAACCCTATCTCGAAATACCAAAAAAAAAAAAAAAAAAAAAAAAAAAAAAAAAAAAAGAAGAAGAGAAGAAACGGTGACTGGGATCAGTGAGTAGGGGTGGGCATCTGAGTGTCACTTCTGTGGCTTTCATAAAATACCCTGACAAAAAGCAAAAAGCAGCTTAGGGGACAAGAGTTTGTTTCAGCTCATGGGGAAGTCAGTGCAGGCATATGACAGTTAGTCAAGTCGCACCCATAGTAAAGGGTAGAGAGAAATGAACGCACTTTTGCTCCCTGGCCAGATCACTCAGAACCCAAGCCAGGGGATGGCGCCGCCCACAGTGGGCAGGGTCCTTCCACATTCATTAAGATAATCAAGACGGCCCCTCCCCCCAGGCCATCCTGATCCTGACTCTCTTCCAGGTGACTCTAGCCTGTGCCTAGTTGACACTGTGGTGGTTTGTTTTTTGTCAACCAGGTATCAAGAACGATGCCTGGCTTCAGATACTAAATGAATATGGATGTTATTAAGTTAGGAACTGGGAGAACTATGTTATGGAGAGAAAAGCAATGATAGCTATGGGGTACACATGATAAAATTCAGGCCACGAGTGCAGACGCTTCGTCTCTTGCTGTGGCCACAGCTGTTCACTACTGGAACACTAACGTCTCTATTGCACATTTGAGAAGGGAGCCAGTTCAGGAGGGAGGCCTGGGCTGAGAGACAGCGGAAGTCAGTGGTAGACAGATGGAGTTGCAAACATCAGAGTGGGTGAGCTCAGGAGGGCAAGTCCCAAGAGGAGAGGCTGGGCAGACGCATGACACCATCCTTGTAAGAGGAACTCACACTGGTGGAGGAACACAGTTTGTGGGAGCACGGAGGTCCTTGTGCTCAGGGATAAGCATCGGGGAGCCAATGTTCAGCACACAGGGTTGCCCCTTCAAGAGAAAGAAAGCAGTACCTGCCATCCACCCAGAAGGCTGAAGTGGACGGGCCTTCTAGCCTAGCGACCTTTGTGTTTTCTGTGTGGCCAGAGGCTTTGCCAGGACTGGATCCTGTACAGACCCTTACTGTACGCCTGTTTTCCTCAGTCTACAGAACCCATCTTACGGACTTTACAAGGGTTTCAGTGCAATCATGTCTGACCGGCATTTAGCTTTCTTTGTTCCTCAGGCAGATTTCTGTATGCTTTGTTGTGAACGTGGAACTGAGTTAATCATCACCAGAGTCATTTGCGTCAAACTGTGCTGTGCTTCAATATGCCTAAAATAAACTATTTGGGGTCAGATTTCCGAAGCTTGAACCCACACCAATGGCTGAGTCGTATTGAGTCCTGAATTGCCTGCCTTCTTGTTTGCCGTTAAAGCTACAGAGACCCCTGGCATCAGCTGTCTGAAGTGACCAGATGAGAGGTCACCAGGGAAAGGGATTTCTCTGGTTCCGCCACGGCAGACATGCTGATAGTGAGCTGTCTCTTCCACAGACTGAGGTGAAGTCAACTCCAGGGAAGGGGCTCCTGCACTGGCGGCTTTTAGAAGAAAACCCTCTATTAACCACCATCGCGTAGCACACAGCTGCTTTTCACCTGGATGTGCTTGAAAACATCAAGCCAACACCACAGCAGAATTGTCCAGTCAGCAGAAGCGAGGCCCTCGGAGTCCGGCCTCCCCGTCCTAGGCACCTTGTTCATCCAACTGGAGCGTCAACGCCAATGCACTCGGAAGGCTGTGCCGTCCGCTTCTAACGTTCCCTCTCCAGTCCCTGTGTCATCTGGAGTCTTTCTTGAGGTATATTTAAAGGTGGGAACACGTGAGATAGAGGGACAATAGCCTAAGTCAAACACTGACTCAAAATGATGCCACTAACTGCACATCAAACCGTAGTGCACAAATAAGGACTAGACACGGGATTTCTGCTGTTCTGACATGCAGAACTGTAGGGCCCTGGTCTCCCTTATTCCTGGGGTGCATTGGCAGGGACAGTTTGTTAACAGTTAACTAAGCTTCCTGTGTGTTTCCGTGCTATCCCTGCCCCACCTGGTGATTTAGCTGCAGGCAATCTTCTCCATTGTTAATATGGTAATTTCCCACCTTCCTGGGCGGAGAGATCTTTGTGCTGCAGTTAGGTAGAAAAGGGCTTCCCCAAGTCTGAATAAACGGCATTCACTTGATCTCCTATCGAATGACCCTGGTCTCTGTGTCTTGTGTTCAATCTCCAGGCCCTTGCCCGGACTCGCATTCGGTACAGCTGCGTGCGAACTGTACCGAGGGTGTAACACCAAAACCGGGTGTTACACAGAACAAGTATTTTAAAATTTTTTTGTTTTCTAATTATGTGTGTGACTTCAGTGCAGATGCCTAGAGGGATCGGATCCCTTTGCAGCTAGAGTTACAGGCCATTTAAAAAAATTACTTCTTCTAGACATTATAATCACATCTTTCCCCATTTCCCTTTCCTACCTCCAAATACTCCATACAAAACCCCTCATTTCCCTCCAAACTCATGGCTTGTTTTCCCATTAATTGTGTTACACACATAGACACACACATCTACATACATAACACCCAAGTACAGCTTGATCAGTCTGTGTAATGTCACTAGTGTGTGTCTGTTTCGGAGCTGACCATTTGCTATTTGTGGTGGTCTGAATGAAATGCCCCCCCCCAGAATCACAGGGAGTGGCATTATTGGAGGTGCGGCCTTGTTGGAGGAAGTGTGTCACTGGGGGTGGGCTTTGAGGTTTTAGACGTTCAAGCCCGGCCCATGGTCACTCTCTCTTTCTGCCGACTGAAGGATCCAGATGCAGAACTCTCAGCTCCTCACTAGCACCATGTCTGCTAGCATGCCACCATGTTTTCCTCCACGATGACAATGGACTAAACCTCTGCCCTGGAAGCCGGCACCAATTCAATGTTTTCTTTATAAGAGTTGCCGTGGTCACGGTTTCTCTTCCCTAACTGAGACAGCATTGGATGACCAACTCACGTGCTCTTCCCTGGGGAGGTTATTTCTCCTATCCTCAGCACCCCTCGGGTGTCTTACAGGCTGTTCCGAGCTGCCTGACATGGTGTTGGGAATAGAACTCCAGTCCTCTGGAAGTGCAGCAAATGTCCTTAACTGCTGAGCCGTCTCTCCAACCACAAACATTCTAAGTTAGGTAATTCATAACGATTATCTATTTTTTTTGTCTAAAATATTCTTGGAATTCTGCATTGTATTTCCTTTAAAAAAAACCCTCTCTGTATTATTTTTATATGTAGGTTTTGGGGGTGTGTTCTTGTGTATGAGCCCATGCCTAGATGACCCATGAACGTCTGGAGATTCTCCCATCTCCACACCTTTTCTCACCTTAGAGCACTAGAATTACAAACGCCACCACTACAGCATGCTTTAGGGGGTCCTGGGGATCAAGCACCGGTCCGTACCCAAATGCACCAAGCGTTTAACACCCGAGCCATCTTCTTAGCTCTACACAGCTTCTTACCTCAAAATGGTCACCCATTAAATAACTGTCTACTGATAGCTTCCCGATAAAATTGTCAGAGAAACAGTGTGGGCCTCAGGCAGAAACTCAGGCGCAGAGACGCAGTCACTTCTGAAGCGTTTTAATTGTTCACATTTACCCTAGTTGAGGTTCATACTACTTCATTTGACAATTTAAAAATCATTCTGTAAACAAGGTAAAAAAATTACAGCTGCAACAGCTAAATGAAGGACGCGTGTGTAATAAAAGAAGGGAGTGTGTGGGAAAGTATGTCAGAACAAGCAAAGGAACCGTGAGCGTGATTGCGAGGCCAGAGTAAGGGGGCGTTCCCCGGCCTCTGAGACAAACAAAGGCGTAACGGTACGAAACAAGCATGAATTCAAAGTGCAGGTGTGCCAGCGTTGATTTCCACATCCCTTCAGCAGACAGAGCATTCTATTCTGTTCTAAAAAGTGGCAGGTTCTGTTTTAAACATCTAGTTACGTTGTCTTGCAGAATCCCTTCACTGCATACATAACGTCTACACCGACTTAAGGAAAGTTGGTCATACGTGATACATGATATACATGGGAATGGCAAAGGGCATTGTTTTGTTTTTTGTTACTTTTTTTTTTTTTTTTTTTTGCCGTATTTTCAACGAGTAACAAGAATCTAAAGACCCAGATGAGAAGCGTCAAGACTTCTAGTCCTTCCAAAGACAAAAATTGAGACAAAAAGCTGATCCCGTTGCTTTCACGTTCGGATTCTCAGATGATCCTGTTGCTTTCTGGCCCAGCTGACAGAAATAATTAGAACAAGTTGTCGATGTCCAAACGGATCAAATCTGTCATTCCAGCCTCGTGTAAACATTGCTTCCATTTTCATAACTGCTTGGAACCCAAATGTGTCCTCCTTGAAGGGGGAACCAGTGTAGAATACGATTTTTGGATAGACGATTTTTTATGAAATATATTTCAAATCTTAAAAAATATTTTTAAGACTTACTAAAGTAGTTCAAGATTTATCCAGCCAACAATGCCCCTTCCTTCTGAAAACAGCCTCGTGTTTGCAATGCTCCATTTCCTCCCAGACCTAACTTTATTTCGGAGCCCGAATGCACAGAGCACGCCCGTCTGTTAGCATCAGACAGCACTGGTTTTACACCACGGATCCAGCTGAACAGCAAGAGCACTAAGTTATAATACACATATCACTGACAGTTCGGTTTTTTAGGGGGGATTCACTGAATAAACTAGATTCTGGTCACCATACCCCACAGGCAGAATGCTAGTGCCTTACTTTGGGGGTGTTTATCTATTTCTCTCCAGTTTAAATTGTATTACATTATGAAAACACTAGGCTTCAAGCCAGGTACTAATAAATATTTAATTTAAAAGAAAAGACTCCCCTCCCCCCCAACGCAGACGAACATAAAAACCCCTTTGCCTGTCTTCCCGTATCAGCCGGACAGGGCAGAGATTTCGTAGTCACTGGCGGAGGTGAGGGGTTTGCCCATCATACGAATGTTCTTTGCACTGGTGACCCTGGCCATCATGCACACTGGCTTGTCAAAGTACCTCACCAGAGCAGGCTCGGTCAAGAGTGAGGCCAGAAACTGTTCGAAGGTGATGGCCCAGTCCCGGTCTAGGCTGCTGCTCCCGGGCAGAGCGGCCGTGCCCTGGCCACTACGCACCAGGACTGTGTCCTCCCCAATGTCCTCACAGTGCAATTTGTCCTCCTCGTGGGAGCCGGCACTCAGCACCGAGTAGGAGGACATGGAGCTGTCGTCCTTGGTGTCATCATCAGAGATGAGCATGGAGGAGCAGGCTCCATTGTCCCTGGGCGAGGAATCCTCCAGCTTAATATCCTCCATCTGCCCTCCCAGGGAGTGTTCCTCACTGTCAGCTGCCAGGCTGGCTGGGAGTGGTTCTGCCGATTCCACCGTGTAGGGCTGGCTGGGCCCCTTCTTGGGGAAGAGCATGCCCGGGAGGGCCTGGCTGCAGGGTGGTCCGGTGACGCCTTCCTCTTTGGCAGGCTGGGTAATGAAGAACTTGCCCACCTCTCCGATTTCCAGCAGGAGGCTGGTCACTGCGGCCGTGGCGTGGTACAGCTCCTGCTCGTTGGGGTCTTCGCTGAACATGTTGTACATGGTCTTACAGAGCTCGATGAACTGGCCCTGGAGAAGGAGTGGGGGAGGGGAGGAGTTAAGAGCAAGGACTAAGCAAGTATTAAACCACGACTCTTTTATAAAAAATTTATTTATTATGTACACAGTATACTATCTGCATGTGTACTTGCAACCCAGAAGAGGGCACCAGACCTCATTACAGATGGTTGTGAGCCACCGTGAGGTTGCTGGGAATTGAACTCAAGACCTCTGGAAGAAGAGTCAGCCCTCTTAACCGCTGAGCCATCTCTCCAGCCCCTAAACTACGACTCTTAAAGATCCTAGGAAAATGCTCTTTGGAGAAGGGATGGACCTACTGTTACGGTCTCTTTATTAGTCTATTTCTTTTTTAATTAAAAAAAATCTGAAATAACCACGAAACTAGAAAGATGAAATAGTAAAGGCCTTCATAGACTCATCACCCAGAGTCTGACTACAGCAGAGGCTGGGGAGATGGCTCAGTCTCCCAAGCACCCACATTTTAAAGGGTGGGGAGGTGTGGTGGCAAGTGCTTGCTATCCCAGAACAGGGGGAGACAGAAATAGGTGAGCCCTTGTGGCTCACTGGTGAGCTACAGGCCAGTAAGACTGTCTCAGACATATGGTGGCTTTGCTCCTGAGGGGTGGTGGCTGAGGCTGTCCTCTGGCCTCCATTTGTGTATGCACACACGCACCACATGTGTGCCCCTGTGCACACGAAAGCACACCCGTCACACACAATAACTAAACTACATTTTGCTAAATTTTTTTCTGCTTTTGCTGCTGCCCCCTCCATTTTGGTTGTTTTGAGACACAGCTTCACTATATAACCCAGGCTGGTTCCAAATTCACTATCTTGTTTTCTCTGCCTCCTCAGAACCGGGACGACGGCATGGACCACCATGCCTGCCTCTTCAGAACCGGGACGACGGCATGGACCACCATGCTAGGCATTACACCCTGTTTACTTTTCTTTATTCTCTTTTTCTCCTTGCTGAAGAATCTTAAGGAGGCAGCAGACTCATCTCGTCTTCCATCTCTGAAGTTATGAAGGTTTCCCCAAGGTTTAGCTGTCATAGCCTTGACCGGGACAGAGCCCCTCACTTCCCTGTAAGGAAGCAATGCCTTCACTCTAACCGGGTGCCCTGTCTGTTCCTGAGCTGGAAACCCACCATTTCACGATTTTAACTGTTATATCCCTCCTGTAATAGGAAGATGTGTTAGACATTTCTACTGCTGAACACAGTGAAGCGGAAACAGCCTGAACTCGGGCATCCAAAGGGAATTCTACTGGTAGGGGTGGATGGATGGACTCCCAGAACTGAGTACTTCGTTGTTTAAAGTTTCTTTTAGGAGAAAGTTTTCTTGAGGCTGAGCACAATTTTGATGGAAAAGAAATAAATGCAGACAGGACCGGAGACGAAGCTCAACTGCTGAGCGTTTGCCTGGCAGGCTCGAGGCCCTGGCTTCCGCGCTCGGTCCTGCACAAACAGGGTGTGCTGGGCATAGGCCTGTAACCTTAGTGCTTGGGAAGTGGAGGCTGGAGGTCAGAAATTCAGGTCATTCTCAGCTACACAGTGAGTTGGAGGTCAGCCTGGACTACACGACATCCTATCTTATAACAACAAAAACAACAACCAAAAAACCCCAATACCCCAAACCCAAGCAGCGAAGAGTTAAGGACCCCAAACTCTCGCTGTTTTGGGGAGTATTTATTTTATTATATAGACTCTTACCTGATTCAACTTGGGCAAATCCTTCGCATTTTTTGACTTAGACTTATTTTCTGCAGTCCAGAGTTTCAGATAATTACGGTTTTCTTGAGAATTTGCCCTCTTCCCTACAATGCAAATGCCGAGAGGTGAGTATTTGTGGGCCAGGAAACAGGAACTCAGGCAGCAATCAGGTAACTAGAGAGGAAGACAGCCGTACCTTTGTCCTGCTTCAGACTCACTGTGACGAAGCCGTCTTCCGCGCTCTGTTTGCTCCTGCTGTCCAACCCAACGACTACCGGACATATTCAGAAGAAAGAAAGGTGTTATAGGATAAGAAACAGGCTTATCAGGAGAACACTAATATCCTACAGGCACACTGGCATGTTTCAGCAAACAGAAATTTAAATACTGGCTGGGGAGACAGTTCAGCTGTTGGAGCTATGATGCTCTTGCAGGGTCCAGAGTTTGAGTCTCAGCACCCACATCAGGTGGCTTAAAACTGCCTGTTACTCCACACTCATCACACACACACACACACACACACACACACACACACACACACACACTTTATGAATCTTTAAGCCGGGGTGGTGGCAGTGCACGCCTTTAATCCCAGTATTTGAGAGGTAGAGGCAGGCTGATCTCTGTGAGTTTGAGGCCAGCCTGGTCTACAGAATGAGTTCCAGGACAGCCTCCAAAGCTGCACAGTGAAACCCTGTCTTGAAAAAACAAAAAATAAATAAAAATCTTTAAACATAAATACAAACATAAAATACCAGTATCCCATGTCAGATAACTTGTTTATCAAAGTGTATTTCTGGTATCACATGACGTATACTTATACTAAACAATTATTTTTTAGAAATTTGAATTTGACTGGATGACTCATAGTTTATTTGACAACCCTACCCCTGGATGAAGGATGGCCTCAGATTTAGTTCTCACAGCTGGGCTTTATTGTACAGTGAAAAATTAAAACCCCATCCTGCTTGCGATCTTCTCACTTCCCAAGTGTTCACAGTGACTTGAAATAGAATCAAGGGACGAACTCTCCCAGGGACACAGGATGCTAGTGGGAGCCAGGGGAAGACATGTTCTCCCTCGTAATTTGGCTTCTCTAAAATACAGTGTTTTAAGAGCCCAGCTACAACTTTGTTTTCTTCATAAAATTGGACATTGCAGGAGCCAGCCATGAGAAACAGACCACCCAAAGGAAGTTCTTCCAACGATTATCACCTGCCAGAGTAGGACTCAGCCAAGATAACCCTAATGGAGTCTCAGCAGTTTACTCTGAAGCAATACCTGGTTGCAGGAAGGACCATAAACTAAGATTATCTGAGCACCACCCAAGAACAGACCATCCAAAGGAAACGCCTAAGGTTCCAACCATTGTAGATAGGACCACCTGCCAGCACACTCCCCAGGACACCCCTAGACAAATGTTAGCCAATTAGGGGTCCTGAACCTCAGAAACCCCTCACCCTCACCTTTACCACTATAAAAACCCAATTCTAACTGAGCTCGGGGCCTGTTTATTCCAATACATTGGACATGTGGGGAGACTGAGTTTATAAACTTGTATAAAATAAAGGCTCTTTGCTTTTACATATGGGACTCGGTCTCCTTGTTGGTTTTTGGGGGACTTGACGATCTGTGCAAAACAGACATTACAGGACACACACACCTGGAAGCCAAGAAGTACAACACCCTCAATTCTGACGGAGTTGACTGGCTTCAAGAGTGTGTCCTGTATTTCCTCAGCTACCCCAAAGGGGGCTGGTTTTTCAAGTTGCCTCGACAGTGTTTTGCCAGAGGGACAGACTCCATGTGACTGAGGAACTCTAACCTGATTCATGAAAAATCTTCAGGAGACAAATAGACACTCGTGATATTTAATCCATGGTGAACCCGAGCTGTGGTTATTATGCAAACATCTGAAAACCCAGAAGGGGTGAGAGTTTTATTACTGAGCACGATTTGATGGATATAGGATTCAGCACAGTGGAAGCACTTAGGAGTGCAGGGCCTGCTCTTGTCCAGAGGGCCATAACTGGTGATATAAGTTGAGCTCAGCAGGGAACACATCTGCTCCCAAGCCTACTGGCCTGACCTCAATCCCTGGGACCTACACAACAAGGAGAGAACTGATGCTGGCAGGTTGTCATCCACACATGGTTTGTGGTGTACACACACACACACACACACACACACACACACACACACAATTTTTTGCTTGTTTGTTTCTCTGTTTCTTGTTTGTTTCACTGTCCTAGAACTCACTCTATAGACCAGGCTGCCCTTGAACTCACAAAGATCTACCTGTGTTTGCCTCCCACGTACTGGCATTAAAAGTGTGCACCACCACCTCCCAGCCTATCTTTTGTGTGTGTGTGTGTGTGTATGTGTGTGTGTATATATGTGTGTATATATGTGTATGTATTTCAAAACATCCAACATGAAGCAGTAGCACTTCTGGAGTTAGAAAAACACTCTGAGAAGCATTGTTGAAGGACATTCCACAGTGCGGCACGTGACCATCTCAGAAGCTTTTACCTAAGAGGAGGATCCTCTCTAAAATGGACATCCCCAACAAGGATGTTAGGGATGCAGATACACAGCTGGCCACGTGAAGAACAGTGGGTGTGCTCAGGACTGCATGAGAGGCTGCAACTACAGACTGTATGATCTCATTAGGTCTCCAGCACCCCCGATCTGGCAACTATCATCTCCACTATCCACAGAGGAACTGGGGCTCCAAGGCAGGATTCTGCCTGTAGTCGCCAAGGTAACGATATGCAGAGTTAGCCCCCTGTCGATACTCGCTCCTCAACAGTGCTGTGGACCACAAGACAGCAGAGTCTGCTTCCCTTTCCTCCAGTAACCCTGGGCACCCACCCGAGAGTTCGAACCAGGCCTACACTGCACTTGTTCAGATACAGCAAGAATTAAGAAGCCAAAACAAACAACCAAGCCCAGAGGCAGCAGTGTGGAGTGCTGGACCCCAAGGCAGAAGCCACACGAGTAATGCATGCCTTCGGAGAGAGGTGCAGTGAGTCACAGTGCATATTTAGGCCAAATTGCATCCTCATAGACCAAACAATCACACAGATGAGGGGTTGGCAAACTGAAATGGACCAGATGGAACTCCATGGAGGATTGGTTCCAGGACCATCCTGTGGACAGCAGAATCCACAGGCACTCAGATCTGCTGTGCACTTGTGTGCAATCTATACACACCCTCCTACGGATCTTAAACTGTCTCTGGATTGCAACTAATGAGATGTAAATGCTATGTAAACAGTTGGAACGCCCCAGTGTTTGGGAAATGAAAACAAGGAAAGGGGCTGCACATGTTCAATCTAGAGGAGCTGTTTCTGATTGAATATTCTTCAGTAAACAATTGGCTGAAATCTGTGCCATCCTCAGAGCTGAGTTTCCAAATGTATGCTATGCACACCTCGCTTGCTTTAAAATGTGAGTTTGGGAATTGAACTGCAGTCCCCGAGGGAGAAATGTCACCTACCATGTGTGCATTCTGGGGTGATGTCTTCAAAGAAGTATTGAGTGGCTTCAAAGGCAGAGTCGGGCTCGTCTTGATCGGAGGATGGCTCTGTGGAGAGTGGTGGGCTGTGACTCAACACTAAGTTTCCTCACTCAGGCAAATGATGGGGGGGGGGACCAAAAATAAAGTTATCCAAGAGGGATGGAGGACAGAAGCACCCCGGAGGCCTCTGTGGGCATCATTTTGTCTTTAACTCCATTTTAACCCCACACTAGCATCCCTCTGCATTTTCCTCTCTGTCAGGGAGATTTCCCAAAGACTTTGAAATAATACTTTCTGGGTCAATTGTAGGACACTGTTTGCTACACACACCCACATTTACTCCCATCTGGGATGTGAATGTATCTGCCTTCACTTTTATTGTCTTTAGTATTTGATAGACTGGTTTAGAACTGAGCCCCAGGCCTCAGCAGCAGGACCCCCAATGTTAAAACTGCTCCTCAAAACAGAAGCCTTCAGCATCTCATTTTTTCCCTTGGAATGTTTGTGTCCCACCTGCCACCAAAGCCTCTGCACCCTTTCTCTTGAAGAGAGGTGTGATGTCTTCTATGAGCTCGGCTCATTTCTGAGACAGGCAAGTGGGAATCAAATCAAGGACACCCTCCTCCAGGAACGCGTGTGAATAGTAGCAACTTGGCCTGGCCTTTGCGAAAGGCTGACAGGCAGACAGGTACCAGCAAAGGAAGAGACGGAGAGTCAGGTCCAGGGCACCAGACGCACGCTGCGATGTGTGGCCACTTACCTGGCAAGACGTGCATTTTGTACAGGAGTTTGAGTTTCTCTGTGAGGTCCCCGTGGCATGCAGCACCTAGGAATCATGGAAGAACCAGTGTGAAATGTGGTCCTGTGTGTTCGTGATGTCCCCAGGCTCAGAGAGCTCTTGTAAAAGTTTGCTTTTTATATAGTGAACCAAGGCATTGTGTGACAAGAGTTCTGCCTAGGACCTACTTGGGTTTAAGAACTCTCACACCGGGAGGTTTGGTTCCAAATGCTTTGTTCTCACTGTGCCTACAGAAGATCTGGCCTCTCCTTGTCCTCAGTTTCCCCTTCGTGACACTAGACAACAACAGAAAAGTCTACCACTGATCCTGACACTGGGATCCCAGAACAATAAAACTATATATATTAATACACACAATGATTTTTAAATCTATCAGCTAGATTGATAGTTTTATGTATTCTAAGTGATTTATTAATGGGAAAGATTAAAAAACTGGGCCTTAATATCCTAAACAACTATGAATTCAGTAATAAAAGAACACATTTAAGATTAACTCTAAATTACTCAATGCTGTTTTTTGTTTCCTGAAATGTTTTAATTTTGCTCTAACCTGCATTTTAATTTATTCTGACTTTATAAGGTTCAATAAAAAAAATCCTGCTACTTTCCTCTGAGTTACTCCTGAAATCAGAAAATCTTTTGGAAATATATATTTAAGTCCCCGAGGACGAGACAGTTCCGAAGAGGGAGTGAGGACTTGGAATCCAGGTGGGAAGGGACTTTACGGTTATGCAGTCTCTGCAAGTCACCTGACTTCACCTAGCTTTTGTTTCTTCCACGGTCAACAGCAACGTTAACAGTAGGCAGGTAGACCCAAAAGGTTGGTGTCCTATGTTAAACCTTGACCTCCAGTGTGATGGAGCCATTGGTTTCGAGGGGTGAGTAGGTCAGGAAGGTTCTGACAATGTGATTGGTGTCCTTACCAAAGGGACTCCAGGGGGGATGCTTGCGTTTGTATCACGATCAACACAGAGAAGGAACTGTCTACCATATAGACTGACTGTGACCCACTGTATAAACTGACTGTGATCCACTGTATACACTGACTGTGACCCACTGTATAAAATGTGATCCACTGTATACACTGACTGTGATCCACTGTATACACCGACTGTGATCCACCGTATACACTGAATGGGATCTACTGTATAAACTGAATGTGATCCACTGTATACACTGAATGGGATGTTCCCTTGATCTTGCAGTTCTCACCCTCTAGGACTGTGAGCCATTCATTTCTCTTGTGTAAAAATTACTCAGTCTAAGAAGCCAGAACTGAGGGAGACAGGTGACAGCGACTTTTACTCAGTGTGACAGTAACTGCACAAACTGTGTCCACGGGCTGTTGGAAGTCTAACCTGCAGTTTGCAGCCCGTGCCTTAGGGCAAAGTAAAAACATGCATAGAAAGCACTGGCTCAGTGCCTAGCACGACAATACTGCAGGAGCGTTAGCCTTCGTCAGTTCAAAGCAGTTTGCGTTTATACACACACACACACACACACACACACACACACACACACACACAAGCCTGCCCGAAGTGTGTGCACAAGGCTATATCTAATTACGGTGAGAGACTTACTTAACCCAAGAGGACTTTCCCCGAGTAACACACTTCCAGCTTCCTCTGGCCTTTTCACATCCTCCACATTATTTCTGTGGGGTGGGGTGTGTGTGTGGTGTTTTCTGGAGGCATCACTGGCTCTATGCTGGTCTTTCCTCTTGGCCCGGATACACCATTTAAAGCATATGGTGCAAGGCACAATTGGTTACTGCTGGCTGTCAGTTTAATAGCACCTAGATTCACCTGGGCATCTAAGAGGGCGTTTCTAGATTGAGTTCACTGGTGTTAGAAAACACATCCTAGATATTAGTCTTAACATGCCGTGGGGTGTGTGGGCTCCCAGACCAGATGAGGGACAGTGGAGCAAGCATTCATTGCCCATGTCCCGGACGTCTCCCAGAGAGCTTCTCTCTGCGCTAATCAGACCTGAACCCCACTCAACTCCAAACAGACAAAGGCCATGTCAAGTTAGAATCAATTAAGCTTCTGTTTCCCTGCCAGAGAACCGGCTAGTCAGAACTGATGTGCTTGGAAAGCCCCTGCCCCCTGCCGCTTCCTCCCTGCACTGCCTCCCACAGGCTTCTCAATAGGGCATTAAAAGCCACATATGCAACTTATGTGATTAATCAGGGATGCAGACGCGAGAATTAGGTGCATTTCCCCCTTGTTTGTCTGTCCTCCTTCCCCTTGCTTCGGGAAACAGCTGACCTGTGACATAATCTCCGGGGCTGTACTCAAAGCTCCCCAGCTCCCCTGCATCCTGGCTGATTGGGGTCAGGGGGACCCACAAGGTTGGAGTCCCAGACTGAACAGGGGTGAGACAGCAGCTGAGCTCCTGACTGCAGGCGCAGTGTGACCTGTCGATGCTTCACGCTCCTGCTGCCAATGCTTTCCCCACTGTGATGAGCCCCACACTGTGGGCCAAAGCAAGCCCGTTAGCCTTAAGTCGGCCGTTAGACATTCTGTCACAGGGGCGAGAAAAGGGACGGACGCAAAGGCACCATATGGGCACACCTCGAGAGAAATTCTCTGGCAGCCAGACACAAAATACACCCCAGCCTCACATCAAGTGGGCCAAGGTCTCCTACCACACATTTTCTTCATCCAATTATAATTGGAGCAAGAGGCCGGCAACAATACAGGGACATGATCAAGGTGGATAGGGGGGCAGCCCGTGCCCTGCTTGCCAGGTGGGTGGTGTGTGTGCACGCTTGTGTGCATGTGTGTGTGCATGCACTCGCTTGTCCTAGCTGTGGATAGTCCTTTAGCCAGGAAACAGGAAAAACTTCCACTTAGACAGTGAGATACTATAATTTTCCAGTCTTTTATTAAAATAAATTTAATGTTACTTAGAAAATAGCATAAAATTACATATTAGAAAGGCTTACCTATGGGCAATTATTTTATATAGGACATATTTTTAATTATTATATTTGTTTTGTAAAACAGAAGAATATAGTCTACCACCTAGATTATTGGTTCTTGACCTTCCTAATGCTGTGACCTTTTTAAATACAGTTCCTCAACAATAAAAATATTTTTGCTGCGACTCAGCTGTGCTGACTTTGCTGCCATTACAGATCACAGTGTAAATATCCGTGCTTTCCAGTGCTCTTAGGTGACCCCTGGGAGAGAGCCCTTTGACCTCCAAAGGCGTTGCGACCCACAGGTTGAGAACTACTGACCTAGATACTCCTTTTTCTCTGGGAAACCTATCAGTGTTGGACGATGACATTAGGATTTTACTGCTGCGTGCATTCTCCATTCATGTATTTTTTTAAAAAAGCCTACATCATGTTAATTACTTATGTCTATGGTTGTGTATGTATGTGTGTGCATATGCGTATGTGTGTGTGTGCCACAGCTCTTGTATGAAGGTCAGAGGGCACTCTTGAGGGTTGGCCCTTTTCTTCCACTCTGGAGACTCTAGGGACTGAACTCAGATCATCAGGCTTGGCAGCAGGTGCCTTCACCTGTTGGGCCACCTTACAAGCACTCCGATAATATATTTTGAACTCATGCTGACGTCTGTCTCATGTAGAAGGCTGTAGATTGTCCATATAACACAGCTGTTAACTAAACACGACCTTACAACCAGCATGCGATCCTTGTCTGTGCTCCTCCTTCCTCTAGACCCAGCGTAGGGCCTCCGAGGGAAGCAGAGAGGAACCCCAGGTTACCACCCCATTGACCCCATCCAACTCATCGACTTACTCAGGCCAGAGACGAACTCCCGGAAGTTAATTAAGGAGTCCCCGTTCTCATCTAACAGCTGGAACAAGCGGGAGGCCAGCACGTCGGAGTGAGTGCCGCACGCCCAGGGAAAAAGAAGCACGAACAAGCCCTTGAACTGCTCAAAGTCGATGCGGTACTGCTCCAGGTAAGGCAGGCTGGGGTCGTGCCTGTCCAGGGCGTTGCTGCTCCCGCCCCAGTAACAGCTGGTTAGGTGTTCAGCCTAAAAAACGACACAGAGCGGTTACTCCGGCTCACGGAGCCCCAAATCACATAGTGTTACCCCTGGCAGGGCGTTAGGTCTGCAAGCGTGTGCTCTTCCTGTCATAAGCAGGTACGCGAACCTGAGAACCCGGATGTACGCGAACTTGAGAACCCGGATGTCTAAGAGACGTTGGGGAGAGAATGAAGAGCTTGGCCAGCGACAGCTTCCTGATGCTATGCACAGAATCAATGCCTCATTCCAAGAATGCGGGACCATACTACACTGAACTATGGAGTCAACACACAAAAAGAGAGGGATCGTGGCGCCCTCTAGTGACTAAGAGATGAGGGAGCACATTGGGGAGACCCCTAAGTCCCAAAATCTGCTCCCCTAGGAGCTGCCCACAGGATGTTGGTGTTGTCCTTTATGCTTGTCCTTGGACTCTTTTTGAACTGCGCCAAAGAGTCACATTTAGATCTATTGGTGGCTTTTGTTTTTGAGACAATATTTCATGCAAGCTCGGTTGCTCTCAATTTTGCTCTGGAGTCAAGGATGACCTCGATCTCCTGAAGTTCCGGCCTCAAACTCCCAGGCATTGGGCTGAGAGGCATAAACCACCACATCTAGCTGCAGATTCAGTCCAGAGAGTAAATTAGAGATTGTGACAAGATTGTTCCTTGTGTGATAGAGCCTTGTAAACCTTTTCCCTGCCAAATGCCACGTTATAATCCGAGACATTGACAATAACAGGGACAAAAATGTTTTTGTAGGAGAAAAGAATTATATTTAAAAATGATTAGATTGTTATTTTTCTAATAGTGGCTTAATGTAAAGCCAGAATTAAACCCCTCTCTTCCCTAGACGTGTAGACAGTTCTTGTTAGGGTTTGGGTGTGAACCATCCCCACAACTCGGCTGTATGTGAAAAACAGTCCCAGTCGGGCAGTGGTGGCGCACGCCTTTAATCCCAGCACTCGGGAGGCAGAAGCAGCCGGATCTTTCTGAGTTTGAGGTCAGCCTGGTCTACAAGAGCTAGTTCCAGGACAGGCTACAAAGCTAGAGAAACCCTGTCTCAACAAACAAACAAACAAACAAACAAAAAACTTGGTTCCCAGAAGATGGATCTGATTATCGAGAGGTGACTGAATTGGGAGAGCCTGGCCTTATTGAGCCATGATGGAAACTTTCTGGAAGTGGAGGCTGGTTGAAGGAAGTGTGTCAAGTCTTGTCTTGGACCCTCTGTTGGTGTATTTCTGTCCCCTGGCTGCCAAGATGCGGTGACTTCTCTGGTCCAGGCCCCTTTACCACAAAGCTCTGCATCACCACAGCCCAGGACTGAAGAGCAGGCCAACCACAGCCCAGCAGACTTCTGAGGCAGCAAATTCAAACTAACCAGACCTCCTAAGATAGCAAGCTTCTTCTTCTAGCTACATAGTGTTTTTCTTTAAGGGCGACTTGGGGCTTAGAAGAAGAAATTAAAAGAATTCCAGGTGGAATTTGAACTTGATCACCACTATTCTATAGAGTTTTAGAGACCCAGGTTCTGTGTCTGAGGTCCAAGAGAAAAACCCATCTGGCGAGGAAATGAGCTAAAACATCAAGTTAAATTAGTGCTAGTAATCGATTTGCTTTTCCTATTAAGTATGACAGCTTTGTTCTGCGGGCTCTGCCTTCTTCCTTATGCATGTTGGGGACCTATGGAACCCCTGGACCACCTAACAGAAAGATTCAGAAGTCCTAGCACAGTTAGAGCAGGTTCTTTCATCTCTTTGCGTGGACTTGAACTTACTTTGAAACTCACCTTGAAAAGAGCGTACAGTTCTTCCAGCTCGTCGATGGTAAACGAGGTCTCTGTCACGATGGTCCGCACCTACGAAGCACAAGCACAGTGACCCCCGCACACTCACAACACGCCATGCCATGCAAGACAGCCTCTGAGCTCTTCTTTCAAGTTCTGTGAAGCTGGATCTGAGGAGCCAGCAGGAATGTGCACAAGGAGGGGGAAACTGAGGTATCCCCTCGCCTCCCACCCTTCCGAGGACTTACCACGTTGCGTTTGGTGGTGTCCTCCAGGGTCTGGATAACTTTCAACCTCTGCTTGAATCTCATCTGTTCAATCAAATCTGCCCGGATTGTTCCGAATTTCTGGAAAGGAGCAATATTGGTGTTTCTAAAATATGTACTAAGGTACCCAGGGACACCTGCAGATTGGCGGACATGTTCACGACAGGACAAAAGGCTCTCTCCACGACAGTGACCTAGACTAGATTTTACGTGGGAAAGCCACTTAGGGACGAGGAGTTACTAATCCAGAGATTCTCCTCACGTATCAGAGGCAGAACTAAATCTCAGTCACGTGTGTTTTCCTTGCGTCGGCAGCCTGTCCGGAAGGAAGCTCGGATGTGAGGCTGTGTGTGATGGCACGTGTGTCTGATGGGCAAAGGGAGCGCCTGCCCCAAGGCTGAGGGATGCAGAGCCTGGGAGCAGTGCTTGTCGATCTCCATGTTCCCTCAACAGCATCTGCGGGGCCAGAAATCCGCGGGGGCATTCGGTGAGCTGGCCGTCTCTTCAATGCCAGCCTGCCTAGCACTGCCTGCACGTCCTTCCGTCTCAGGGAAGAAAGGAAGACGTCACATTTATCTCCACTAACCAGCCCAGTGCAGGGGTTGGTCAGGATGGTCATTAATGATGAAGGGATTCATTTAACGGTGGCTGAGAGAGAGAAGGAAGGGAAGGGAAGTCTTTGGGTCCCAACAGCAGCTCAGTGAGCCTCTACAGTGACTGTGGGGGTGGGTGATGGCTCAGCCAGGCAAGGGCTTGCAGCTCGGGGTTGAGGACCTAAGTTCTAATCCCCAAAAGCCTCACACACACAAAAAAAATGCCAGTACTTGGAAGACAGAGACAGGAGGATTTATGGATCCTTCTGGGAAGGTAGACAGACTATGGGGCTCCATGTTTAGCAAGATCTTGTCTCAAAAAAGTAAGGTGGAAAGCGATTGGTGGAAAAGAACTGACATTAACTTCTGGCCACCACATGCACGCACACACACACACACACACACACACACACACACACACACACACGAGTAACCATCAAAGGCCAAGTTTAGTGGCACAGGCCTTGCTAAGATTTTCTAGGATTCAAGAGGCTGAGCTAGGAGGATTAACCACTTCTGGGACAGGGCAAGGCGGTACAAAGGTTCCTCCATCTTGTATTCTTGTTGGGGCCTATGCAGGATTGACTAGAATTTGGAATCCTTGATGGAGAACCCCATGGAAAATTACCCAGCTCTATTCTAGAAACCCAAAGTCAGGATGTCCCAACTAACTTATCTAACTTACTTTAACCTGCCTGTGTGGAACCCCCTACGCTAACTATCGCAGTGCCTGTTAAACTGTTCGCTTCTGTGAAACTGCCAACGGAGATACCAGGATGTGGTTTCTGCCTTTAAAAGCCCAGTGAACCTGGACAGTCGAGGCCACACCTAGCTCCTTGAATACCTGGGTGTGGTCCTGGCTGACTGGAATCAGGATTTTTCAATTGACTATAAACCGTGACTGAGTGGTCATATCTAGTGAAATACTGGTAACGATTAAAGGATAGCCCAAGAGACATGACAAGACTTTTTCTCAGGAAAAATAGATTAAAAATACATAAGTAAACAATCGTCATATCTGGAACTACGTACTTCAGGGCATTTCTAACTGCTTAGTGTGGGAATAAGGAATGAGTTATCTATGAAGCTTTCCCATAATGGCTCCTCAGTCCACTGACTGTGAATCTGACATGCTTTTAGATCACGTGTCAAAGGGCCAGAGCTTGTCATACCACTTACAACAAGTTAAGGCTCACGAGAAATCCCGGAATCCACGCAGCGTCCATCTGAGAGCAAAACTTAGCTCATAGGCAGTTGCCTGCCTCCGATAACCAATTCTCACAATGTAAAAGGGGACTGTTCCCAGACTCAAGTCTAAACTTAATCCCCAGTTGCCATAGCACTGACAGGAAGGGTCTTATCTGCAGGTGTTTAGGTTAGAAAGGATGCTATGGAAAGGGCTTGCAGAAGCAGGTTCTTTCTCCTGAACTTCTGCCCCTTGAGGACATTGTTCCTCCCACCGGCAGGACACGGATGGTGTCCAAGGAAACAGAAAGATGAAGTTGTAAATACATAAGCACCTGACCTTAGGCTTCCAAGGCTCTAGAACCATGAGAAATCCATCCTTAGTCTTTTTGAAGCAGTTGGACTGCTGTATCTATGACGACAGCGCAAGCTGGACTGAGACATGGTGGGAGAGGCAGTGTGGGACCCATGCCCGGCTGAGCTGGGTAGAAACACTGGGCACTGTTATCCCGCGGCTGGGAAGCACACCTACCTCGTAGGATGTTCCTATGAGTCTGAAGATGTCCACCGCAGGGTAGGGCCCCACGTCATCACTGAGCAGCGAGTGGAGATGAGGGATGGGAGGCAGGGTGCTGTCTTTGTTGGTCACACTGTCTAGGTACCTTGGTTAAGACATGAACCAGCTATCACTGGAAAGGAACTGGAATGCCTCAGTTATAGATCTGAGATTGTACCTATTAAATCAAAAACCCAAGATTTCCTTGTTTCTGTTGTTTGTTTTTCTCTTCCTCTTTGAAGTCCTGGGGATTGGATCTAGCGCCTTCTGCATGCTAAGCAACTCTACGCCCCCTTTCTACGTTTTATTTTGAGACTGGTTCTCACTAAGTTGGCAAGGCTGGTTTTGAATATATGATCCCCCTGCCCCAGTCTTCTGAGCAGCTGGATTACACTGAGCCAACACCAGGCCTGACTAAGATTTTCTTAACAGCAGAAACAAACACCCTTTCCTTTTAAAGAAAATTGGGCTCAAGAGACGGCTGGGGGCTAAGAGCACTTGCTGTGTGGTCCTGAGGGCTGGAGTTTGGGTCCTGGCATCCCTGTCACAAGCCAGGTGCCCTGCACGTTGCAACTCCAGCTCTAAGGGCGGCAAAGACAGAAGCCAGGAGGATTTCTGGGGTTCACTGACTTCTTACCTTGTCAGGGAAACATGAGTTCCAGCTTTAGGAAGGGACCCTGCCTCAAAAGGCTTGGTGGTGAGTGATGGACAAAGAGATGCCCGGTGCCCTCTGCGTACGCTCACAGGGGCCGTTACCCACATAGATATTACTTTAAAAATGGAAAAGAATATGTCCTTGGTCACAGAGGATAGTAGGTCTTTTGATCAATTGAGTCAAGCTCGTGAGGTGGCCTCGAGGTCAGACACAGCTTACCTTCCCAGAACCGTCATGGCCTCCCCATCGTCCTTGCAGTTGAGAAGCTTGTCCACGTTGGCGTCCAGCACAGCAAGGGCCAGCTGGAATATCACCTTGATTCCTTCATAGAAGAAACAGTCCACGACCACCACTGCGCTCTCAAAGGGCATCACGCTGAGGAACAGAGTAAGGAACCACGACAGGGAGATGGTGGAAATCACGCCCAGGTCCTGCATGCAGTCGTACAGCTGTGGGACATAGTCTCGAGCCAGCTCCTCGAAGACTCCCTGGTCCACCAGGGCCCCTGAGTGGGCGACAGGACAGGATCGGTTAGCCCTGCATCTTCCTGGAGAACCAGATCAAATGGATGGGCTGTGTTCGACTTTTGCTTCTGTGGCTATGACAGAACGTCCTGAGGAAAGCAGCTTAGGGGGAAGGGTTGAATTCAGCCTACAGGTCCAGGATACAGTCCATCACCACAGGGAGCTCAAGGGAACGTGAACCTGCAGCTCTTCACACCCACAGACGAGCAGAGAAAAATGAGAACCTTCATGCCTAGTGCTCAGCTGGCCTTCTCTGTGCCCGCACAACCCAGGCCCCCAAACAGGGAATGGTGCTGTCCACTCAGGCTGGGGCTTCTTACGTCAATTAAGGCAGTTATGACGATCCTCCTCAGATATCCCCACAGGCTCACCTGATCTGGACAATGCCTCATTGAGATTCTCTTCCCCCAGGAGTCTGGGTTATGACAAAGTGACAGTAAGAACTGACCATGGCACTGCTAAGCCCTTGTTTATGCAAATATTTTTAGCTGTGGGGTCCCAGGGCATGAATTGCCTTTCAAAACTTTATTTTTTAATAATTATTAATTTATTACGTATACAGTGTTCTGTCTGAATTTTTGCCTGTAGGCTGGAAGAGGACACCAGAACTCATTATAGGTGGTTGTGAGCCACTATGTGGTTGCTGGAATTGAACTCAGGACCTCTGGAAGAGCAGTCAATGCTCTTAACCTCTGAGCCACCCAGTCCTCAAACCTCTATCTTCTAAAGAGATTCTAACTGTACACATTTACCCTGGCTTGCGGACGCTTTAAGCTGGTGCCACACGGGTCTTTTTCCTGGATTTGGAATCACCTAGGAGACACACACCTTTCGGCATTCCCAGGAAGTTGTTACTGGAGAAGTTTAACTAGGATGTGAGGGGCCACCCTGAATGTGGTGGGCATCACTGTCCTAAGGGCGTGGTCCTGGACTAAACAAAAAAAGGGGACATCAGACTGAGTACCGACATTCATGTCTCTGCCGAGCAGGACCCAGTGTGACCGTTGCCTTGTGCTCCCTCTGCTGTGACTTCCCCGAATGGTGGACTGTAGGGGAAACGCAGAGCCACAACAAACCCTTCCTCCCCTAAGCTGGGTTTTGGCTCCGAGGAGATGAACTAACATGATGCTACAGTCATTTTCCGATCGAGACAGGCTAAGGTGTTTAACCACAGCCACGCACACACACCTACAACTCTGGTGTTGTAGTAGTCGGGAAGCATCCGCTCACACAAGGCCACGAGGAGCCAGAACGCCTCCTCCTCCTTGGCGTAGAGAAGCAGCACTGAGGTGACAATGTTCATGGCCTAAAGGGAGGAGAGAGGAAGCCGTCAGCCACAGTCGCTTACAGCGGGTGGATTTTCATAGACGCCATCTTGTCGAGGGGCTATGCCCACGCTGAGTTACTCCAACCTGGAAGCCAGCAGGACTTCAGGGCATGCTGTTCGGCAAGCAGCTTCTGACTCTGTTTTGAGAATGCAGGGTGACTGTGCCCCCGCGTGAACCCTCAGACTTGAGGACGCAATGGGAGCAGCTGCCACCTTTCTGATACCCAGTGAGTGCACGCAGGACAAGCAGGCAGAGGGCTCCGGGTCGCCCCAGGGTTGTCCCACTGTTGACAAGGCCGACTGGTCTGCTCCTCCACCCACCCACCCAGCTCTGGATTTCTTGCTCCCTCCCATGCAGGCTTGCCTGTTTCCCTCTACAGCTCTGTCGAACTTGTGACCCTCAGCACCTGACGCTAGGGCAGCAGCTTCCTCCTGGCTCCTTATCAACACAGGCTCTGTTTACATTCATGTCAGTCTGTGACTGAAAACAGAGACCCATCCACTGCCTCTTTAGCCCTCTGGATCCATTTCACAACCCAGACAGACTGACAGACTGTATGATGTTTCACATGAGAGTTAATAGTAATCAAGATTGGAATTAAAACCTGGCTGGAGAGATGGCTCAGAGGTTAAGAGTACTGTCTGCTCTTCCAGAGGTTCTGAGTTCAATTCCCAGCAACCACATGGTGGCTCACAACCATCTGTAATGAGATCTGGTGCCCTCTTCTGGCCTGAAGGGATACATGCAGGAAGAACCCTGTATACATAATTAATAAATAAGTCTTTAAAAAACAGCAACAACAACAACAGTCTGGGTCAGACTGCCACGGAGGTGGAAGTAGCTGGCAAATTGCTGCCATTAAACCCCCAGCACCTTGTTGATTTATTGTTCTTGAGGAAATTCTGGAATTATGGAAAGACACGTGTGTGTTTGTCTATGTCTTTGATATAGTTCACAACATTGCCCAGAAAAGAAAGGAAGAAAGGAAGGAATGAAAGAAGGAAGGAAGGAATAAAAATTAGTCTTTCTGGCAGGTGCCAATAAACTCCCAAGAAAAGCCAGACAAATAAGCTTAGGATTTCCATGCCACAAAAGCTTGCTGAGTATTCTGCGTTCTGTTTGCTTAGGCCCTTCAGAATGGAAAGTCCTCTCAGCGATTGCCCAGGGTCTTCCCTGGCACCACAGTTTACCTGAGTCAGGCATGTGCAGGCAAGCCCTGACCCCAGAGCCTCTTCCCCAAGCCTGGTTAACAAAGCTCTCAGCCTGCTCAGTCCTTTCACTATTCTTAATCCTTAACTCAGGGGAGGTAAATATTTCCCTCACCTCCCACAATCAGTTCCTATAACCAAGTCCACGGGGCTCCAGGCTGTCCGCAGAGAACAAGGCGACCTTTCAGAACTGGAGCCCTCCTCCCTTACTTCCATCTAGGAAAAGATGCTGAGATGAACAAAGGTGATTTAAATTCCAAAGTAACCAGATTTTATTAAAAGATATTATCAGAAAGCCCATAACCACTAAGCGGCTCAACGGTAACCGTCCCTTAATTAAAAAATGAAGATCAAAAGATAAAAATGAATTCTATTTTGTCAGAAGCCAAGTAGCTCCTGGGTTTCCTCTGATCTTCCAGAAACCAATACCCACACATCAGAGTTGTGCAATATAAATCCCCTAAAAGGTGTTTAACTGAAAAGGTTCTTTCTTGCAAGCCTTGTTGTTCCAAGGGAAGCGGTTATTAAAATTCCACTTGAGAATTATTAGCCTGTGGGTTCTAGTCCAAGGTCACAACCAAGGTCAGTTCCTCAGCCACTCAGGCAAGACAGAGGTCCATGGCTCTAATTTCTCATGGGTTCTGTATGAGACGTGAGAGTCGGGGGAGCGACGGGACAAGCTCGCCAGCCTTGAATGCGGCCACCAGAGAGAAAAAACAACACTGTAAAGTTAACGAATGGATTTGAAGATACATTTAAATTAAGTACTATTAAAAAAGATAAATGTAGCATAGGGAAACAGGTGTGTGTGTGTGTGTGTGTGTGTGTGTGTGAGAGAGAGAGAGAGAGAGAGAGAGAGAGAGAGAGAGAGAGAGAGAAAGAAGAAGAAAAAGAAATGTGTGTATACATGTAGGAGAAAGATGAGTATGCCTAAGAGTTACGTCTCCTTCAGCTTTTCCAAGGACGGTCCAGAAAAATCCACCAATAATGTGGTCTTTGCGTCTGGATCAACTATCTTGTAGTTTCCCAACGGTCACTCATGCTCGAGGTACCAGTACAAGACATTATTTTAATTTTGTGTGGGCGATATTCTTTTTTGTTAGATTGCGTTAAAACATTCACTTCAACCTGTGTTAAAGCATAGCTCTAGAGTGTGAAAAGCTGTAGGTTCAGTGGCAGCGATCACGGCTTAAGAAGACTCAGTAGGGCACTCCTAACAAGCATGGCGGTGCAGCCGAGTATGTGCCCCCAGGATGCCACGGTAGGCAGGTCAGGGGTCATCAGAAGACCCTCACTAGTCAGTCCCTCAGCTAAGGACCGGAACTGCAGCGCCCTTCTCAGGCAGTTGTTAGCTATCATGATGGTGATGCTCCTCGGGGGACCTTGCCAATATTTAGGGGGTGTTAATCTCCGGAGCAGGGGTTTATACTGTAGCCTGGTGGGTGGGAGTCAGAGATGTTGCCGAACAGGCAGCAGAGCACTGGGCAGCTCCCAGGACCAAGGATTCCCTCGCAGCAGAAACAATGCGTTCCCAGTGAGAAGTCACTCCGTGCACTTGGAGATGATGGAAAAGCACTTGGCTAGCGTGTGTGCGTGGTGGACTGGAGTTACCGCCCAAGATGGCCTTGGCCCCCACGGGAGTTTATTGACTTCTATGCCCCTCAGGGCTTGTATTTTGCACACACTGTCCTTAAATCTCCTTTAGGTCACAGCTCCACCCCCACTGGGAACAACTGAAACAGAGACAGGGCTTGCGAGCCTGGCCACTGGGCAGATGGAGGCTCAGCAAAAACAGTGTTACTGTTATTTCTTAAGTACACCAGGGTCGTTTCTTTTAAAATAGTGCTCGCCCAGGACCATCTGCCCATCTGGCAGGACTCAACACTGGCTGTGACCCTGAGCTTCCCCCTCAAGCTAGCTGCCTGCTGGAGGCGTGTCCTTTGTGGAAGGGCCTGATGGCTGGACCAGCTCTGGTGAACAGATATTGACGCCATCATGAATTTTGCTTATCTCTAAAGGTCTGGTTAACATACTACTTATCTTCGGGGTATTAGGGAACAGCACCCCCTTAGCTAAATTCTACTTTGTGTAGTTGAATGTCTCCTAAGCAGATCATTAACAAAAATCCTTTACAACATCCGTTCGACCACTTTGAGTTTCTCCTACATCTCTCTAATCCACAATGTCCGCCGGTGTCAAGGCTGAGGGACCCTGCTGTAGTGACTCTATTAGCGCAGAGAGAGCCTTCCTGTCCTTTATCTGCTGGCAAACACAACAAAAGAAATGTTTACTTTGTTGGAATAAATGTTAGGCAGGAGGTTAGCTCCGCAGAGGACTGACCAACGAGGCCCTAAGGACTGGACATGATGACCGGTGGGTGGGTCAGCTCGGAGTCTCCCAGACAGAGGTAAGGACCAAAAGCTGATGGCAGAGCAGCCTAGCCAGCTCAGAGGCCTCCAGGAGAAGAGGTATAGAGTGCTGTTACTGTTTCCCCACATAAACTTTTCAGCTTTGGGGTCCTTACCCCCATATGCGTACCCTGGCTTCCCACGTCTCCTTACAGCAGACTGGAATCTGTGGAGAGCAATATTTTGAGAAAAAGCAGACCCTTTCCTAAGAGCGATCACGCTGAGGGAGGAAAGATGGCGGGAGAACCTGGAGAAGCGGATTGCAAGTCCGCTGCCTGCCGGGTTCCGGGCCATTGCTACAAGGCTGCGCCAGCTCTGGCTTCCTTGCTTACTCTAAACTCCTGGCTGGTTGATCTGGTACAGGGTCCCATCTGAATGCTCCACTGTCAGGATCATAGGAACTGAGGTTGGATCAAGATCGGAGGACACTTTGAATCCTCCCCAGACATAAGCTCATGGCAATTACCTGGCAATACCCTATGTTGGGATTGCGGAAAGCATAAGCCGTTAACACTCTCCTCAACGCGGCGATGCCCATTTCGTTCTGGAAGGCTGGGTGTTCTGGGAGGGAGCGGTGTAAGTCTCTCTCAATCTCCTCGGTGGCGAGATTGTATTTGCCCATAGACTTCTCCACTAGGTCCTCATAGTACCCGGGGTGCGTGGCCTTCTCGTTGATGGCCCCTGGGAAGCACACAAACAGGACATCAAAAAAGCTGAAGTCCAGCTCTCCCGCTCCAGATAGCACGGGCTGGCTGAAACTCTGCTTTCCCACCCATCAAAGGAAACCGAAAGAAAGAAAATCACCTTGCAGGGTGTTTTCACTGACGGCTAGACGGGCCGTTTGCCTGTGCCCCCTTCCCTCTCGGTCCCTCAGCAACATGGCTTCTCCACCTTCCCACACGAGCTCCAGGGCCACAAAACTGCGCTCCCAGCTCACACAGAATGCTGAGGCTGACATGGGGAGTTAGCCAGGCTGAGTTCTCACTCTTAGTTGCCCTCTTTGCTTTTAATTTAAGAGATTTGTTAAAATTTCACTTGGGAAGGAGGAATGCCTCCCAGGAGTGCCTGTCTGGCCTGTTTCTTAAAGATCAGCTGCAAAGCACGCTGCAGTGGTGACAGTCTTGTAGAAGGAAGTGGAAGAGGTAAGGGCTTTCTAATGCTGCAGGAGGGGCAAGGCTAAGGGTCCTCCTAGTAACAATGGGTCCCTACTACAGAATGGGGGCCCTTGGATTGTAGGCAGGGGCTGCAGAATGGGGCAGAAGTTGCTGGCTTGAGATATTCATGTTAAGATCCTTGAAGACGGAAAACCCCCGGGTAGGCACATTATCTGGAGTTCAATATCAGTGTGGATTTTCATGACCACCGGGAAAACTGAGCTCCTACACGCAGAAGAATTGACTGCACCCTCGCCTCACACTACGGTCCCAATCAACACACACGGATCACAAGCCAAAAAGCCACCAGAGGAAGACAGGGAGGACATTTCTTGACAGAGCGGGTTTTGGATATGATATCAACCATATCCACAGGCAGTAAAAGCAGACACAGGTGAGATTGTGTAAGCTCAAAGGCTTGGCTCGTAAAAGAGAGTGCAAAGGAGATAGACAAGACAGAAGAAAACACAGTAAAGAGCAATTTATCCAAAATACAAAATTATACAAGAAATTTGGGTGTCTCAGTAAGGGTCCTCCCTGGGGACAGACTGAACTTGGGTTCAGTAGGTCCAGAGCCCAGACCTCATGCAGCAACCTTAAGGGACATGCCAAGCAATAGATCTCAACATGGGCTTCCCAGCCAGAAGCTGGAAGACCTTTCTGAGCAGGCTGGCTTCCACATGAAGCCCACTCACGAGTGTGTGCACATATACCCAACAAAGGGTAGCCTGCAGACATCCTGCCCTTTGGTCACATATAGCTCCCGGGTTGATCAAAACACTAAATTGAACTCTCTCCTTGTGTCTGTCTCTGTCAGTGGGCTAGGTGCTGCTGCTGTATACTGGTGTCATAGTGAATTCATTTGAATCTGAAATGTAGTTAAAAATAACTTCTACTTTGAGGAGAAGGACAGAAACGAACCTTTCCTGTACTCTGTCAGTGCTTTGAGTTTGGTTGTCAAGGTGACCAGTTCACCAGACACCGGAGGAGTAAGAGGCTGGATAAGAGAGCTCTACGTGACAAGGATCGTCTCTGATGTGTAATTAGAGACCCCATGCTCAAACCTGAGCTTCCTTTTACTTTTCCTGAAATAATGCCTTTTCAAGTAACCCAGGTTGGTGATGGACTTGCTATGTATCCCAGGCTGCCTCAGACTTGAAGAGATTGTCCTGCCTCAGCTCCCTAGTCTTAGGATTACAAACCACCATACCCAGTTCACATTTAACTTCTAAATGAGGGCCTATGTCTAGTCTACTTAAGGAAATAGGGGGAAAACCAAACAAACCAAGTTTACACAAAATAGATAAAACTATTTTATCTTTATTTTATTTTGTTTTTAGGATTTGATCCTCTTATTTCTGAGATATATCCCGTGATGGGCAATTTTACCATTTATATCTACTTTTAGGAAGATCCACGAGTGTTTCCTTGCCAGCCCAGTAACTTTAAGTTTCAGTATGATTATTATTATTTAAGTAAAAGGATTGAATAATGGTCCTTGAATGAGGCCATCTCCAGGTTCAAATAAAAACGTTTTCATGGACCTGGTTAGAGTGTGACGTTTCCTGTCTTCATCACCTAAAGCAACTGGTACATGATTGAAGTGAAGGCTGGGCCCAGCAGATGTATGTCCACACCTCCCCGGGAAAAGCCCACACAACATGGTCCCCTACAATATTCTCAGTGAAGTAACACCTCCAGGAGGGAGGAGCGTTTCAACTCTCAAAGAATTACACTCCTACTTCAGATTTTGTTTCCTCCCCCTAAACAACCTCACTGGAGAAACAGGAGAGATGGCGGGATTGGAGAATAGGAACTGCTGGCCTTGGGTACCCTGTGTTACTACAACAGACTTCAGTACCTGGTGAGGAAACCAGGTCCAGCTTTGATTGGGGGCTCTTGCTGTGGAACACCCTTTTTATATACTGTAAATGTGTATTATTCATTGGTTAATCAGAGACGGCTGGCAGATGGCTTCTAGGGAGACGGAGGGTGGAGTCTTGGAGGTCAGGAGGAGACTCACAGAAGGAGCAGGATGGGAAGTACAGAGATGGGCCTCGGGGCAGCAGACAGATGGATGGAAATGGGTTAAGTTACAGGAGCTAGCTAAAAACAAGCCCAAGCTATTGACCAAATATTTGTAATTAATAATAAGTCTCTGTGTGCTTATTTGGGAGCTGGCTGGCAGGACAGAGCTGACCAGCAGTCCCTAGGGGAAAACTCCGCATACAGGCTCTTTTCGCAAAGGACTTGATGCCTGACAGGACTTGAACCTGAGAGAAAACCCCACGGATGCCCGGCTGTGCTGCTCTTGGCCCTCCCTACCTGAGAGTAGCAGCCAGAGCTCCCCACGCATGCTCTCTGGGATCCCCTTCAGCACCAGTTCCCGAGTCTTCTCCGTGCGGTACATGCAGATCCCCTGCCCGTACTCAGCAAAGTGAATCTTCCAGGCTTGTTCTTTTAAAAACTCTTTGGCCTGAAAGATATGATGGAATATGACTGAGGCCCCAGAGGGCTCTGAGGGAAAGGACTGAGGACCGGCCGTAATGACAGATTAGAACGTGGAGTGACCAATCCCTGTGAAATGGACAGTCGACTCTGAGCAGAACCCCCGAGAATGTACAACTGCTTTATCCATCGATCATAGCCTGTTCTGTCACCAAGCTTTCCATTCAGTGTCAGGGTCCTACGTAATGGGTCAGTAGAATGCTAATTGTACCTGTGGTTTTATGTGAATGCGAATTGGTGACTTTTAAGTGTGGGCTGAGAAAGCATGTGTTTATTTGTTGTTTGGCTTACACAACAGTTAAAACAAGACCAAGCAAACAGAAAAGGCTTCAGTAAAGCACTCTGCTATCTGGTGACATATTTATATAAATATTGTTTTCCCTGCTTAAGCAAAAACATGTTAGATATTCCTACAGACATTTATGGCCATTTCTATAGATGTTAGTTTGTTTAATTATTTTAAAAATATCTACATGGGGGCTAGAGAGATGGTGGCTCCGTGGTCAAGAGTGTACAATCAGAATTCAGATCCCAGCGTTCACAGAAGCCAGCAATCTTGAAATCGCCTGTAGCTCCGGCTTCAGGGGTCTGCACGCATGCATGTACAAATGTGCACAAATACCTAAAATGAACCGTGCAATGGGTTTTTATGCTTTTGTTCTAATATAACAAGTTTTGGCAGAAAGCAAGAGGCACCTACCAGTTTCGGGTTGAACTCTTCTGGAGATCGCCGCCGGTACATGGTCATGAGGGTCTGTGTGGCTGTGGGGACACTGTTGCCGTTGAGGTTAAAGGGGCGCTCGCCATCGGCATCAGAGCTGGTGCTCCTCTGGGGGCTGGAAGAAACGAGGCTGCTGGGCCGAGAGTACACCTGCCAATGGAGAAGGGCACACGTGGATGGGCCTGGAAGCTCTATTTATTTCTTTTGTGTTCTGTGCAGATATTAAAAGCTTGGTCTTATTTTCCTGCATGCTTCTTGCTATGTGAAGAGACAGGGCTGTTGCCAACATGTCAATACTTTTTAAGGAGTTATCCTGGGCAAAAGTTATAAACAACAGTATTTCAATGCTCAGATAGACTTCCCAGGGCCGGGCATGTAGCTCAGCTGTAGAGTGCTTACTGGGCACAGTGCTCTGGATTTGCCCCCAGAAACACATGAACTGGGTGTGGTGGCGTGTGTGTGTGTGTGTGTGTGTGTGTGTGTGAGTGTGTGGTGGAGTCAGGACCCAAGATCAAGGTCATCTTCAGCTACACAGCAAGTTCCAGACAGCCTGGCCTATGTGAGATGTTGTCTCAATAAAATAAAAAAAAAAAAAGAAAAAAAAAGTTCCAAGATTTATATTATCTACAGAGAAACCAAGTACTATTGTCAAGTAGCAAACTAATACAATAAAGGATTTTCTTTGTGTTTTTTCAACAAAAGTGGCTGGTTATCTGTTTCATTGATTTGTCTCTTTGTGAAGCATGATGCGGAAGATGCAAAAGCCTTGAAAACTTTCTGGCATCTCAAAAATGCTACCTAAGCAGCCAGGCAGCAGGGCCAGGGATGGTACACACAACCTTCCCATCTTTAAAACATGGGTTAGCTAACAGAAACTTCCTAGTAGTGCCTGTCTTCTCGGGGTTCCTGCTTCCCTGGATGGTAGTCTAACACGCATTTCATCACAGAACCAGCACCATAACAACGCTGTATTTCAGGCCTGACTTCACTTAAGACTCCTGTATCCTTGCCTCTGAAGTTACCAAATAGAAAAGAGTCACTTTCCTTGTACTCAGGTCAAATCACTTAATGATAACTCCAATTTAAAGAAAAGAGGCTTAAACCGGGCCCGTAGGTGTAAGCCTGCAATCCCAGCTGAGGCTGAGGCTAGAGGATTGCACGGTCAAGGCCAGCCTGGAGAACTTGGTGAAGTCTGGAGTTACAGCTCTGTAGCAGAATACTTACCTAGTATGTGTGAAACCATTAGCTCAATCTTGATTACCAAAAAATAAAGGTGGGGGAAGGGTTTAGATCTATGACTAAAAACTAATTCCTTATAACAAAACAATCTTGCTAAGATATTGCACTGGGCACTGGGGCTGGGGGCCTGGTACGGCTGTTAAATTTGACAGCCAAACAAGTTGACAAGGAGGTGCACACCCCAGGCCCGACCACAGGAGCACCCCACTCTACGCTCGGGTGTCTCCCACCGACCTCGTCATCTGAACTGTTGCAGCTTCCCGAGAACTCTCTGTCTGAGTAGATTCGAGAAGTCGTCTGCTGCAGGAAATCCGAGATCCTCTGTACCAGGAAGTCTCTGTCTTTCAAGTTGGCGAACAGGAAGGTCATTCTGTTCCTGGTGCTGATGGACAGGGGGCTGGGGAGGACACTGCAGCTGTCGGCCTTCTCCACAATGGTCACCTGAGGAAACAGGAAGCGGGGCACTACATGGGAAGGGCTGGAAAGGAGCCCGAGTCCTAACTCCCTGAAGGAGCTATCCGTGCCACCATCAGACAAACGGCCATCTTTCCAGCTCGGCTCCAATGAAACACAATGCCTTATACAAATCAAATCGAAGTCGCTACCAGAAACTAGAACTATCTTTCTGGGTTTTTCCAAACTAGGGCGTGTTTTTTCAGCGACCAGAGGCGTATTTGATTGTCACAGCTGGAGAAATGACAGCTGCCTTGCCAGGGACGCTGCCCGATACCCCGTGGACTGCAAGTCTGCAGCAGAAACTGGCCCCAGATGCCAAGGGTGCCAAGAACTGAAAAGAAATTCTCGTTTTTCATTAAAATTTCATGGAGCCGAAGGAGACAGGACTCCTAGCTGTGGCCTCATAAGTGAGAGGAGGCAGTTCCAGTGCAGGCTCCTTTCATTAAGCAAAGGCTAGGATGTCTTTAAAAACGCTACCAGTCCACTGGGTGCGTCACACAGACGCCAAGGCCTGGCAGCGAGCGCTCTCAAGGACTTGTTCTGGACTTGTTCTGGAGCAGACACAATATAGACATCTCAGCTGAAGCCCCACACACCTGCAGACTCTGCCTGTGTGTGTGTGTGTGTGTGTGTGTGTGTGTGTGTATGTGTGTGCGCGCACGCGTGTGTGCACACAGCCAAGGGGAAGTCAGAAGAAGACTCTGAATGTCTCCCTCAATCACTTTTCTACCTTACTTTTTGAGACAGGGTTGCTCACTGATTCACCAGTTCTCTAGGTTGACTGGCCAGGGAGCGCCAGGAATCCTTCGGCCTTTGCCACCAACAGGAGCATACTACTATGCTTAAATTTAAACGTGGGTCCTGAGGATGACAACTCAGGTCTTTATGGTTGAACATCAAGTACTTTACTGACAGCGGTCTCCTAAGCCCAGTGCTGATGGTTTTTAACAAGGTTTTTTATCAACCCCCAAAAAAACACAAATGTACTAAAATGATTCTTTTTTTTTAGCATATTAAGGATAAAATCTTAAGGCAAACATGAAGTAGCATGTCCATCACAACTCCGACTTTCTATCTAATGCTAGCATTTTCTCTACTCAGAGGTCTGCAGTCTGGGCAGAGTTAAACTTCCTCTGCACACTGGATAACGACGCCCATTCTTGATCCCAAAGTGCATTTCTCTTGCCACTCTGGGTAACTGCTATACCGTGTCCAGGCAGAATCCGACGAAGGAAATCATGCTAAGGGTAAGGGTCAGCTAAGCTCAGCAGGCGAAGGGCTTGCACTGCAAGCCTGGAGATCCGAGTTCCACCCTGGAAGAGCGTCAGAGCCAGGCATTGTCCTCTGACCTCCATTGCTTGTGCTGTGGCTTTGGTGTCCACACACACACACACACACACACACACACACACACACACACAATTGAAAACTATGCTTAGAACTAAGTGAAAAACTTATCAATCAAGGTGAATTTTCAGGAAAAAATATGAATCACTAAGTGTAAATGTAGTTGATCCCCCCACCTCTGAATTCACCCCCAGCCAACTATCCTGGCCTCCACATATGTTCAAATATTGATTAGCTATCTAAACCTATGCCAAAGGGAACTGAATCTGTCAACTGTGTGGTAGTTTGTGTTCTTTGTGATTGGCCAATTCAGCTTCAGGGAATTTGTAATCTATAGCGTAAGGAAATTTATACACGTGATGGGGAAAACAGCAGGTGTGAAGGGGCACAGCCCTAGATAAATAGGTGAATACGTTATGTACATACATTTAATGCAATAATATATAGTCATTAAAATTACATTGTAGAAAGCTATTTAATGACTTGGGAAAATAATGTAAGGATACTCACTGTTAGGTGAAGTAAAACTCAAACCTCCCGTACATTTCTCTCTAAATTATTGACACACACAATAATGCACAGGAAAGGCTGTGCTAGGAGGGAACTTTGTCTTCTTATTATCTGACTTTTGCAAATTTGCTATGATAATAATGCATTACTCTTAAAATACAGGAAAAAAAGAGAAAATCTGATTACTCAGATAACACTTTAAAAAGAAAGAGAAGAGCAGCAGAGTGGAAGAGAGCTTTACCATGGGCTCTTCACATGGGGAATCTAAAGGCTCTGCTCCCCTTAGCTTCTGAGAGGGACCAGAGCGTGACTGACTGGGAAACACAGGGCTTGCAGCTCTGCACTGCCCATCACAGGCATTGCTAGTATTCACTGAGGGCAAACAACTGAAAAACTTCTTATAAAAAGAAAAAGAAGAAGGAGGAGGAGGAGGAAGAGGAGTTAGAAGAAGAAAGAAGAAAGAAGAAGAAGAAGAAGAAGAAGAAGAAGAAGAAGAAGAAGAAGAAGGAAAGAAAGAAAGAAAGAAGAAGAAAGGGGAGGAGGAGGAGGAAAAGGAGGAGGAGAAGGATGAGGAGGAGGAGGAGGAGGAGGAGGAGGAGGAGGAGGAGGAGGAGGAGAAGAAGAAGAAGAAGAAGAAGAAGAAGAAGAAGAAGAAGAAGAAGAAGAAGAAAAAGCAGCAGCAGCAGCAGTTGGAGCAATGGTGTGGTGTGGCTAAGAAGTACACTGTTAGGAGCGGAGTTTGAATGCCGCCCAGCCTACAGCTCAGCATGGCTGCATCTGGCCAGCCTCAGCACCAGGGCTGGGGACAAGCGCAATCACTGGCAGCCAGCTTAGCTGACCCGGTGAGCTTCTGGCTCAGTGAGAGAGAGCCTGCTCAAAGGAGACAGAGACAATGAAGACAACCGACAACGACCTTATAAACAGATGTCCTAAAATAAGATCTCCACTGGACACTTACTTCGCGGAGTGGGATGATGAGGCTGCAGAGGTTTTCCTCCTTGCTGGTGAAGCAGATGTAATTCGTGGAGACAAACATCTGACCCAAAATGTGCATCTTGTTAAAGGGAGTCCAGAGGGTGCAGTCGGTGTGGCCGTCCAGCTTTTCGTCTTTGGGCAGCCGGAAAAGGGCACGGTACCGCTCACTCTTCGCCCTGGCATCCAGATCACTGCAAACCAGTAACTACAGTTCCGGTCACCAGAGAGATGCACCAGTGCCTCCCCACTATGGCCCCGTTGATCCCAGCCCTCGCCTCTCAGCCTTTGAGACTCGCTCCGTAGCTGCATCTTGGCGGGACTCCAACCTTGCGATCTCAGAGTACAGCATCATTTTACTACATCCAGCCATTTTCAGTTAACATAGATAAATGGTAAAAAAAAAAAAAAAATCTTGGACAAACTAGGACCAAGGAAGGAAGCTCATTCTCTTTCTAAATAACTCAAGAATTTCTAAAGACGTTTTCAGACTTTAGAAAAAAATCCAGAGTCATTTTTGAAGATTGGCTTTTTAAGACAGGGTTTGTCTGCATAGCCCTGAAAGACCTAATGACATCATGAACAGCGAAGCGAGTCTGCTGGCTGTCACTCTCCACCCTGAACTACAGCACAGGGGGAAGAGACCTAGGATCAAGTTCTAGATCTCACCTGAGGCCTCTGATGATACCCTTTCCCCTCAGGCTTCCAGCCCAACGTGCCTACAGAAGGCCTAGTTTTCCACCTGGCTTCCCACAGCGAAGAAGGGGAGTGCAGAAGGGTCCCCCACCTCCCTCTGCTGTCTGTAAAATCACCTCTGTCCTCATTGGCTCTGGAGCTGCAGGCATCAGCATCTCCTCCCTTGTAGAGATCTCACTGAAGACTGTTTTCTTAAGCTCTATCCTCAGCCTTAACCAGGGTACCCACCCTCACCAAGGAAGTATTCCCATCAGATTCCAGCATGCAGCCTGTTTTCTGGTGTAGCCACTATCCCCTGCATGGCAACACCCCCTCGTAGAGGGAGGAGGGAGACTTCTCAGACATGACCTTCCCAGGCCTAGGATCTGCAGAGACACGCACCATCCACCAGGCCTTCCAGGGCTTTAGGAGTTACCGACTGCTGGGAGAAGGCCCTCCATCAGGCTGAGCGGCCACACCTCAGTGAAGGTGACGCAGGCGTCCCCAGGAGTGGATGCCACACCAGGTGGGCTTCTAAGTGACAAACTTGGGCTCCTGGAGGCAACCTCAATAAACTCACTGGTCCCTAAGCTAGATTTGGGTGAATCATTTCTCTGGTCATTGGTGTTATATCTGGGATGAATGGGCACTGGTTCCTGTCTCTGTGGAAAAGGTCACACAGCATCAAAGATTTTCCAAACTTTAAAAAAAAAAATCTATCCCTTCTCCGTCAATTGCCTTTGATGTTTCCTCTGTTAATTGCCTTTGACTTTTGCCATCTATATAATTCATTAAGATAATTAATAAATCTGTTGTGCACTAGGATGTCAAACCCCACATAAAACCTCAAAGACATCCTAACCACCTCCTTTCGGGTTCCACTCTTTCCACCTGCATGGACTTTACAGGAACGACCTCCATCCTGATGTCCTGGAGGCAACTCCATGCAATGCAATCAAAACTGCCCTTCCTTATGCCTTGGGCACACTCTCCCCTGACTCCTTCTAAGGGACTCTAGTCGACCCGAGAATGGCAAGCGTGTCTCTGACAGACCTTACCCTTCTCCTCCACCCCCTCTGCCTTGCTACAACAACAACAACAACAACAACAGTATTAGATTATATTCCTAAAGCTAGCCACCCAGGTCTATTCCCTTCTGTGGACACTTTCTTATTCCCGAGGCTGATTACCAAGGCCCAGCTGTTAAAGAATTGAAGTCCAGCAGTCAAACGCCCCCTTGTGGCTACTCTAACATGCCCAATCAAAATAAAACACCTCATCTTAACACAGGGTTCCTCTTGTACCTTTATAAACTGCCTTTTCCCTCTGTACCGGGTCCGTTTCCTCTCTACGCTGAGGAATCCTTTCGTTCCCACCCATCCTGACCCCTGCCTTAGGCAAATACCCTGCTCCTTCTCTCTAGTTCCAGCCCCCTTCTCCCCCGTCCTCTAGCTCCTGGCCTTGTCTCTTATTCTCTGTCCTCTGTCCCTCTGGGGAAAATAAATCTCCTTTGTGCCGAGAACTTGGTCTTGGGGTGTCCTGAGCCAATACTTTCAACTTGTGCACACAGCCTTACGGGCTTCCCTGCAGCTTCTCCGCCCGTGTACTGGCCTCCGACCTGCTGTTCTTAGTCTTTCTCTCTTGGGCGGCCCCCATGTGTCCATCCTTCTGCACAAAATGTACACCTGTCTATAACCCATGAACCCAGCAAAGAGCAGCTTGGTGAGAGGTCACGTGAGGTCATCCTGGGCCCTCTGTACTTAAGGCTAGCAGAGATCCCACCGCGTGGTGGAGGACCCCATCCTGCCTGTCTCTCTCACTGACCAGGGGTGGCTCGGGCCGTCTTTTCCCATTGTACCTACGCTCAGGAAAGAGCTCCCAAGCTGGAAGCTGCTCAGAACTCAGGACCTGTGCGGATGGAAAGGTTTTTCCATCCCTGAGTTCGACAGTTCCTCTCACCCACCGTTTCAGGGCGGACACTTTTTTGGGAGATTTCTTCTTGAGTTTTGGCAGGGACCGGTCTTGTTCAAATCCTTCATTGTCCAAGAGCTGCCTCATGGCTATGTTGGCAAGCTGCTCCATCAGCTTGAACGTCTCGGTGATGTTGAGGAACACGGAGAAGAAATGCTCACTGGATCGTGTGCTCACTTTGATCCCGTCTGGCAGAAGCAGCGTGGCATTCTTCTCCAGCTGAGTGATGTCCACCCACCGGATCACCAGCTTGGCTGAGCACAGGCAACAAGGTCCGGTCAACACCACGTAGTGCCTTTCCAGATCGGGTAACCTCACAGCCCTGCTCCCAACCTTCCCTACAAACTCTTCTGAGCTCCTAGTCCCTATGTTTGTGGCCTCATTTGTTAGTTATAACGTGTATCAAATAAACTCTGTGATCAGAATTATTACAGACTGAAGTCATGCCAGCTATACCTTTGGTGACCCTCAACTGCTCAATGAATAATGTGTTTGCAGTTGTTGAATTGAAAATAAGGGAATTCGCTCATTAAATAGGCAGGAAGAGATCTCGACTCACCTCTACATACATGGTTTTGGTATTCTGACTTGGTTTATGAGTTCTGGGAAAGCCTCCGTGGACTTCCCAAAGGCTCCCATGGAAGCGCACCCACTTACCTTCCCTGCCCATGAGGAAGGAGGAGAAGCACAGGTGGTTAATGCTGAGGTACATCCAGCCCTGCCGGGGAACCTTCCCCTTCCAGTAGCTGCAAGAGTAGTAGTTGACAAGTTTCTCTTCTTCGGGCATCCCAAACAGCCTGTGGAACTTCACGATGGCCTCCTTAAACTTCTCGGTGTCGTCATCTTCCTTCACGTCGTTGATCCTGTTGTACTCTGCGATGATGCCCTAAGTGGGGGCAAAGCAGACGGGTGGAATTATGACGGCCGTTTAAGACCGGATTTGTTTTAAAGATTAATTCCCTTCCAAGGCAACCCACCGGATTCTAAGCTTCCGGTTAGCTCCCAGGTTGGCCTGGAACTCACTATGCTGTCCAACCTGGCCTTGGATTCACTGTGGTCCTCCTGTTTCTGCTTCTCAAGAGCCTTCGCGCTTAGCCAATTAACCAGCAGCATTTCCGCACTAAAAGATTCTCCAAGGATCTTACTGCCCATCCGTTGGTGCTCATTGTTGCCTATGTTCACTAGGAGTGAAGCTGTTTGTCTTAAAATAAGGAAATAAAAGGCCCTTGCCAGCTTAATTTTTATTAAGTGCATCACGATAGGGTTATCATAAAGGTCAGTTCTGCCTTTATATAAAAAAGAATCGCCATTTGTTTGGCCAAGGGAGAAAGGACTGACCGTCATCACTAATGGACATCTGACCGGAGACCCCCACCTCAGGAGTCATCGGCGCTGGAAACAGATGAATACAGGAAGAGAAGTCAGTTAGACACGAGATTCTTGGGCAGCTGGGCAGGAGATAGAATGTTTGCATAGCAAGTGACTGGGCTCATCTAATTCTGCTGCTGAATCACTCTGGTCGCCTGAGAAGCCATTTAGCTGCTAGCCAAATCCTCTGCAACTCCCTGAAGACTGTTTATTGTGCATCTCTTTAGAGAAGAAAGCTACCTCGGGCTCAGTGGCTAAGGGCACTTGTCAAATTGGATGATCCGAGTTCAATCCCCGGGACCCATACGGTGGAGGGAGAGGCAGACTCCTGCATGTTGTCCTCTTAACTTCCACATGGGCACTGCGGTACACATGGCAACACACGTGTGTGAGCATGCATATACATATACACACACAAAATAAAATATACATATACACATATACACACACAAAATAAAATATACATATACACATATATACACACAAAATAAAATATACATATGAACATATATACACACAAAATAAAATATACATATACATACACAAAATAAAATATTTTTTAAAAGATAAGGCTCCCTTGAATCCCATGGTTGACTTTGTAATCATAAAATTGGTCCATATTCCCTCTTTACCTTCTCTGATCTCACTCTCATCAGAACAGTCTGGACTTCAGAGGATAATAGCTGTGGATTCAGGGCCCAGAGGGTCCCCTGTATCTGTGTGAACTTGTGAAAACCCTGGGATTTCCCCAGATATGGCCAAGTCCTTCAGGATAAACGCTCACAACAGGATCATTATATAGCTATAATTCCTGGCCTTCAGGCTATCTACTGGCTCTCATTCTTCCAGCGTAGCCTTCATATTCCCCACAAACATCCTCTTAAAACAAATTTTGAGGGACAGGATAGCTGCCTGGATCAGCTAGTAAAGTGGTTGCCATGTAAGCAGGAGGACCTGAATTTGACTGCCCGCAACCTACACGGAAACCTATCTGTGGAGGCCATCTCTCTAATGCTAGGTCTGATGACGGAGACACAGGGAGACCTGGAGACTTCGGGGTTAACCTGTCTAGCTGAATTAGAGACTTCCAGAGTCTGTGAAAGATACTGTTTCATAAAATAAGGTGGAGAACAATAGAGAAGAACACCCTAACGTTGCCCTCTGGCCTCTACACATGTCCATCCGTGCACATGCACCCACCTCACAACCACACACACACACACACACACACACACACACACACACAAGTTGACTTTTAGAAAGTGGAGCAAGGGTTCAGCAGTTAAGAGCATTTGTATTCCAGAGGACTGGGGTTCAATTCCCAGCAGCCCCATGGTGGTTCACAACTGTCCCTAACTCAAGTTCCAGGGCATCTAGCTTCCTCTTCTGGTATCCACAGGCACAAGGCACATATATGATGCACAGGACATACCTGCACATGCAAAACATTCATATGAAAAAAAGGAAGGCTAATTAGAAAAAATTGACTCCATAATTCTTATAATCAATGACCTAAGTAGCTCACCACTGCCGTCACACCAGAGACACTAGGTCACATTCACGTGAATCCAATCAGCACCAGCTTTTCCTTCATTGTACAGGGTCTGAAGAGTTCCCAGGAAGAGCTCTGCCCCAGCCGGCCCAAGGTCCCCTCTAAACCCTCACCTTCTAGGCTCTGATCCTGTCACTCCGAGTCCCCTGTGACTGTTTCAGGCACATCACCAACCCCCCAAGGCTGCTTTAGTGAATTCCCACCTCTCTGTGAACCTTCTAGCTATGATTCTTTCCCCTCACACAAAGCACTGGCGATTCCCTGTGTCATCCAATGAAATGGTTTCCTGAATTTCATGTCCATTGCCACACCTTTTCCCTTGGGGACTGCCGTGGGGGCAGAAGGGAAGGCCCCAGTCTTCCAAAAATCCTCATCACCTTTCATCTGACTGAAAGTCTTGGACACACAGCTAAGAGCAAACAGTAGAATCCCTACGTGAGCACAACTTCACGGCTCATCTTCAATCTATTCTACCTTCAGGGCCACCCCTAGACCTCTAGCACAAGCCAGAATTATCACAGTGGCTTCCCGTTAAGATTCTCAGCCCACTCAGCTTTTGTACAGCCATGTTCTGAAACGAAGACTTGCCAGCAATAGTCCTACCAAAGCCTGAACTGAACCCACAACACAAGATCACTCCCTGACCATCCCCCACCCGTCACCTCTCCTCCCTGGGAGACTAAGCAACACGTAATTCCATCTAAATGTTCTCAGTTCTATGCTCTTTCAATTTACATTGGATTCTGTTTATATTTTCCTCAGCCATTAAATATGAGTTGTAACACTAGTGTCTTGAACCTTACGTTACCTAACATCAAAAGGTATCCAGTTCGATAGTCTTAGAAGAGAAATATGTTGGGCTCCCAAGTGAGACTATATCTTTAGGAGCCATATTTTTTTTTATTGTATGATCTCAGTTGTGGATTGAAGAATCTACACTGTTTCACAGTGTTGACATTTAGAAAACTAACTTTCCAGTTGTGGGCTCGTCCATCATCACCCAGGGTAGCAGTATGGCTGGCATCCAAAATAGCGAGGTTCTATCCTGGGGGAATACCTAAGATAAGACTGTTTTCCTCTAATTAGTTCTGCTACAAACCCTTGGAGAGAACAGGGATGCTGAGGTCCATGGAGGCCGAGGAGTTGGACCCAGGTTATTCTAGGCATGAACAGGCATCAGCAGAGTTACATGAAGAACGTCAGACAACCAGAGGTGGTGTGAGGGCATTGGATCACCGGGTAGGAGGAGTTCAGAAGGATCTTGATGAGTTGGAAGCCAGCCTGGGCTACATAGTAACTTCTGGGTCAACCTGGGCTACAGAGTGAGACTGTTTCCAAGCAAAAAAAAAAAAAAAAAAAAAAAAAAAAAAAAAAAAAGAAAGAAAGAAAACAAAGAAAGAAATAAAAAAGAAAGGAGGAAGGAAGGAAGAACGAATGGAAGGAAGAAGAAGTGAATAGGAAGACACACACAACTAAGAGGAGGAGAACCCAGAAACAGGAAGCAGCATCAGCATTTCCTAGGCAACCCCAGCAGCCTGGAACCAGCCTGGAAACCTCAAGTGCGCTTCTATTTGCTGCTCTGTGGCGGATCTCTTACTAAGTCAGAATAGGGAGCACATTAATACTAAGTTATACACAGCAGACCACAGGAAAGGCTCTGTATGCCTTGGTACAAAAACACTATGCTAAATACCAACTTCTAGAGTGTTCATTTAAACTTAAACATGTTTTTAAGGATGAATAGATTGATGAAAGTAAAAAACCAAGACACTCCGGAGCCTACTGTAATTCATCAATAGATCAATCCTCTCTTCCAACTTTCCCACCTTTAGGAAAAGACAGAGTCCAGAATGCCCAAGCCCTCTTTAAGGCTTTTCTGTGAATGCTCAGCCAGAAGGCCAGGTTGCTGGAACACAGGATGGAATGTTTCTTCATCAAAGTTCTACGGGTTCTACTTAGTACAAAATAAATCACTCTGGTTCTAGACAACAGCTGCTCACAAACTCAGAAGCTCAATGTATCTAACCCACTGGCTGCTTCATGTAAATTTAACTGTGTAAAGGTGTACTTGAAGAATAAAATTAACTTGGCAAACCAGACGCTAGCCATTGTGGTGTATGCTTTAATCTCAGCACCTGGGAGGCAGAGGCAGAGAGATCTTGAGGAGTTCAAGACCAGCCTGGTCTACACAGTAAGTTCTAGACGGGCCAGGCCTGCATAACGAGACCTTGTCCCAAAACAAAACAAAGCAAATACACATACCAACCAACCAAACAAACAAACAACCCCCCAAACTTGGTAAACACGAGAAAATGTTTAGCTTTATAATCGAGGACAGATAATTAAAGCATGAGGACATTAAATTGCAAAGCCATTTTAGCAACAGGCAGGAGAGATGACTCAGGTTAAGAGCAAGTACTGCTTGATCTTCTAAAGGACCCAAGTTCGGTTCCCAGGCCACACCTCAGGTGGCTCACACCAGCCTGTAACCCCAGCTCTGCAGGCACCTGTGCTATTGGGCACAGATGCCTCGCAGACACAGGTACATACACCTGATGAAAATAATAAAATGAGCCTTTAAAAGTTGTGAGAGCGAAAGCAAGCCCGGGGATTCTGGCACAACAACTTATGCTTACAGTCCATTAAAGAGTTTGGGTTTGTTACAATGTTTTCATCGCTTTATCTGTTAACCTCTATCCTAAAGGAGGTCGGAGAAATAGAATCTGTGGCAGAAGTCATGTAAACTAAAGTGGTGACTGGATCTTTATTTGTCTGCCTGTCCCCTGCTAATTTAGAAGCAAAAGTAACTTCTAGAAAGACAAAATGAAGTTAATTATGGAGAGTTATATTCGGTTAAAACAACTATAATTAGCTAGGCAGTGGTGGCCGGCGTCTTTAATCCCAGCACTTGGGAGGCAGAGGCAGGCGGATCTCTCTGAGTTTGAGGCCAGCCTGGTCTACAGAGCTAATTCCAGGACAGCTAAGGACACACAGAAAAACCCGTCTAAAAAAAAAAATTAAAACAAAACAAAAACAAACAAAAAGAATAAAAAAACCCAACAACTCTAATTATATAGAGTAGATACTAGTCAAGGCAGCATAGGAACACAGAATACGACCACTGTGATCAACATGTTGAAGCATCTAGAAGTAAGCATGCAAAATGCTGTGTATGGCACTAGAATTCCTGTCGCCTGTCTAGGTAACTGTCATAGTTATACTTTACAGAAGTTAGTTAGATCCCATAACAAATAAGCCTGCTAGTCCCCTTAAGTACTGGGCAATCTGTGACCCGGCAAGCCACTCATTTGTACACGAATGACATTATTTTACATATTTACTGCTTTAATGGGAATTCCCTCCTCATAAATAGTTCCAGGGGAAGCAAACCTGACATATTTAATGTAACGAGAAGAAAAGCTACTTGACATAATTTGTCTTTCCCTCAGAAGCTTGCTTCTTCCTCAATATCTTTTTTTATATTATACAGAGATGGCAGCCTCAGAGGCAGGACTGTGACATGGGCCCTGGTGACCTGTGTTGTCAGATGTCTGTGTGTCTTCTCCCTCTTTCCTCCAGCCCCTCACACATGACACAATTAAAAGCTCTCCTGATTTCTATACTCACATACATGCATTACATAGAGTCTGAGTTTCACCACACAACTCCCAATTATACACACACACACACACACACACACACACACACTCTTAAGTTGTGGTGTCTGGCCCTTCCCAATGTGTTAGTCCCCTCCCCCTTTCTTAGTCTCTAAATGGAGATTGTCTCTCCATTCTGAGGGAAGGCCGGGCATGAGAAGCAGGCTGGGGTTCCTGTACACACTTTTTCTACAGAGCTGAGTATGAACCACTGTGAATCTGTAGTTAATAGTAGTCTGTCAGTGCCAATTTCATATTTAATAAAACCATCATTTACAAACTTTTACCTGAAGAACCATTTGGATTTTTAAAAAATGAGTGGATACTACACCAACAGGGAAAATTTGACAAAAATTTGGGTTATTTATCGTTTAAAATATCTCCCTATAGAAATATGTAAACATAAAAGTATGAATTCTACAGTGGAAAATGGACACCACTTTGAATGGGTTCATGACACCAGCAGGTGGCAGATAAGTATCACGTGCCTCAGGACACGACAGCCCAAGGAGGACACAAGATTGCTTAAGTAGCACGCTGTTCCAGGAAGGCAGAACTTGAATTCAATCACGGAGAGACATCTGACAGAGCCTCAAATGAAATATCCTTTTCTAAAAACCAGAAGTGCACAGTTGAACAACATTAATGTCATAGACATAAGGAACGGCTGAGAAAATGTTCCAGACTGAAGAGATGCAAACTAAATTCAGTTCCCTTAGGGGCTGAAACCCACAGCCATCGAGGGTACAATCAACCCCGTTTAGATCAGAATACACAGGACTGTGGAGATGCTCGGCAGTTAAGGGCACTGACTGCTCTTGCAGAGGACTGGGTTTGGTTCTTGGCACCCGCATGGGAGCTTCCAAGCATCAGTAAATCCAGGTGCTCTGATGCCCTTTTCTGATGTTGGAGGGCACTAAGTACATACATGGTACACATACACACATGTACACAAAACACCTGTACACATAAATAAATTTAATTTTTTAAAAATTAGAATATATACTAACTATTAAAGTGCTGTAAAAATGATGCATTTATACACACTGGTAAATGATATTTGTTTTCATCAGATATCAACATTGGAAAGCACACACTGAAGGATTCAGGAGGAAGTCCCTCTTAAAGGTTAGCTTTAAGAATCCGAAGCGGGGTGGAAGGACAAGACAAGTCTGAGCGAAGGGCACACAGGTGCGTCATATACAGCTCTTATTTTTGCAATATTTCTGTGAAGTTTAGATTTTTTTTTCCAGTTGAAGGGCTTTGGTATGTTTAAAAGTATTTTTTTTTATCCTTTGAGAATTTTATACACACACGCTACATATTTCAACAACATTCAATGAAAGCAAAATGAAAAGGCTACCACTACCTGTATTTTTCCTCTTACAAATGTGGTGATGTCATTCTCGTTCTCGAAGATGGAGAGCGTCTGCAATAGATTCTGCTCGAGCCATTCCCAGTGCTCAGTCACCTCCTTCCTGGAGCCACCTGCACGGGAGCAGAGGGGACAGCGGCAGATGTCAAGTTTCATGCCAGAGGCATATTAAGAACCAGGCTTACTTCACCAGTATCCAACACTGGCAGAGGAGATTGCTTGCCCGTCCCGGAGTTCTGACTTCGACTCCCCAGAGAAGAGACACACAAGACAACAAACATGAGGACCCCCAAGAGCAAGTACTGGGTTTCAGATTATGCGAGCGAGGTCATTCCAGAAACCGAGATGATTCAGTTGACGAAGCCACATACCCACAAAGGCGTATGAGCTGGGAATTTAGCTCTTTTATTCCCCCTTCCAGAATATACAGCTTACAAGGTGACATAGATCCTGTCAAGATGTGAGCTTTTTGTGCTAAGCTACAGCACGGGTGAGCAATGGTGTGCCCATGGAGATATTATAATGTGAAAAAAAAAAATGAGCCTTGTTCCGTTCTGAATGAGAGATGAGAGCAGAGCCTTGCTAGAGGACGGTAGCCACCCTCCCCAGTGCGGCTGCCTTGAAGCACAGAGATGAGCTCATCCTTGCAGCTTCCAACCTAGTCACTAATTTCTGCCAGTTGCTAAGAAACACATGCCATCTCACTTGGAAACCTCCAAATTAAACCATCCTAGCCTTGTAATATATGTAATGTAACTACCCTGCAGCGTATAACAGAGTGACCGTCGGGATGAAGTCAGGCAATGCTAGAATAAGCAAGCTCCCTTTATCATGATCCCACGGGGTAGAGGCTGTAGAGATAAACCACCCTCAGTTACACATCTCGATTGCAAGTGCTTCCTGTCTCCACACGGAGGAGAGGAGCGAGTTTCTGGTGCCACTGGTTCTTCGGATGCTGCCTAAGATCCCCAACTCATCTTTTAATGGGAATCTCAAGAATGTCCAGTAGAAAGTCAGGCTATTGCAAGCTGACTCCCAACAAAGGAAGAAGGGTGAGAGACATGGGTGCTACCTGCAATTACACTCAGATCTCTCATCTCAGAACTAAAGTATCTTTAAGACTGACAGGCATGCTCCAGGCACCTCTGGACCACTCTTGGAGGGAAGACAGAAAGAAAAAGGAAACCCAAGTTCACGTTCTCTCACTTTCGGACTAGACACTAAAATGTCTGATAATGGATACTTAAGTGAGGCTGGTTTGGGTGCTCAGTGAACATGTGCATGGCCTTCATTCCCAAGGACGTCAATAAAAGATAAAACTGCAAAAAGGATGCTCTTGCAAATGCGAATAAATTGGTTCTCATCAGGGCAGTCGTGTGAGCCCCTGAAGAGATCTTCTGCATAAAAGACACTTTCCATGGCTCTGAGCCAAGGACAAGCATGTGTAGGAGCGACATGATGCCAGTACCACACAAGGCTATGGCAATACCTGCAACTCAAGTAAGCCTGGCCCCTCCATCTGGCTAGCATGAGTGAGCTGGCTATCTTTAGACAGTTTTTAATATCCATCTCAAAGAAATGAACACACGAACAATGGCTCCTCCTCCCCCTCAGACTAGTCCTGTGGACAGCACAAGGGAGAGTGTCTATAGACAGTTTAGAAAGTGGGGAATTAGAGTGATATATTATTTGTGTTTTAATAAATTAAGCTGGTCTGAAGGTCATTGCAAATCAACCACACTAGTCAGTCATACAGGCCAGGCAGTGGTTGCACACACCTTTAATCCCAGCAGCCACACTAGTTAGTTAAAAGCTGGGCAGCGGTGATGCACATCTTTAATTCCAGCACTAGAGAGGAATATAAGATGGGAGGAGACAGGTCTCACACTCCGTCTCATTCTGAGGATTCATGGAAGCAGGATTGCCATTTTGGTTTGATCTTGAGTTTGAACCCCAATATCTGTCTCTGGGTTTTTATCACGCATGTTACATTTGGTGCCCAACATTTGGGGTATGAATTCAGGAAAAAGCCACTAGCACAGGCTGACAGGCTGGAGCTACACTTGGGGCTCTAGCTCCACCTGGCTAGCCTTTCTTTTCTTTTTTTCCCAAGCCTCTGAGTGAGTGTTGTAGCCTCTCTGAAACAGTCTCCAGCTGCCACCCAAACTCCAGAAGAAGCTGAGCTCCAAACACCACAAGACTCAACAGCCCTAGACTGGATGGTTCTGTTCTGTCTTCAGGTAGCCCCTCACCACATGTGCTTTTTCCCAATCCCTGCACATTTTTTAGATAGGCATCTCTCTCTCTCTCTCTCTCTCTCTCTCTCTCTCTCTCTCTCTCTCTCTCTCTCTCTCTCCCTCCCTCCCTCCCTCCCTCCCTCCCTCCCTCCCCTATGGGTTATCCCTGAGCTCTCTTCTCTAGCTGCTACCAAACTAGGTAGCTGCTCTGAAATCCAGTCAGACCTTTACTGTTCTATGCAGCAGCAATAAGCCCCACATCTTCATCAATATCATCAGTAGATTTGGTAAGATAATTAGTGTGGTAGTACACACCTTTAATCCCAACGCTTGGGGGCAGAGGCAGAGAGATCTCTGTGAATTCAAGGTGTGGTAGGATACACATTTAAGACCAGCACTTGAGAGGCAGAGGCAAGTGGATCTCTGTGAGTTCAAGGACAAAGATACACAGAGAACCTGTCTCAAAAAGCCAAAAGTTAAAAGTAAAAATAAAAGAAATAGAGGTTAAAATAAAGCCATGTAAAGATGAAAAATACACAGAGAATCTTGAAACTGTATGTTATTATGTTCTCTTTGAATTGTTTGAATGCTGAGGAAGAAGCAACAGCTGCTAAAAAATATTTGCTTATAAATGCTGCTGAATTAATCTAAGATAGGTATTTTGAAAATACCTTGACTTCAAAATTGAAGTCAAAAGGTATGTTGCTTTGGAGAAGAGATTTTGCTTTTGCTTCCACAGGAAATGAGAGACTGTAGATTCATTCTGAGTTAAGAAAAATCAGGTTTGATCAAGGAAGACCACCTGAGAAATCTCTGGTAGGATCAGATGGCCCATATGTCAGAGTTCTACATCTAGAACAGGTTCAAGACTGCTGCCTGAGATAATCAAGACTTACAGAATACTCCAGTCAGGACTTGATCATAATTCTAAATTTTCTTTAGGTTGCCATAAGATTATCAGCACCCTCAACCAATAGGAAGTAGCCTAGAAAACATGCCCACATTCTTAAAAATGGACTATAGATGTTCTTGTTTCTTAAAAAGAGGGAAAATTGGTGCAAGACAATGCATTCAGTCAATTATCTTTTAAATAAATGCCGATTGGCCAGTAGCCAGGCAGGAAGTATAGGCAGGACAACCAGACAAGAAGTAGTGGTGGGGCAATGAGAATAGGAGTATTCTGGGAAGGAAGCTTCCTCCACAGTCCTGTCTATACAGACACTGAAAAAGCAGGATATGACCTGCCCTGCTGAAAAAGCCATGTGGCTAACATAGATAAGAATAATGGGTTAATATAAGTTATAAGAGTAATATGAAGCCTGAGATTATAGGGCAACCAGTTTATAACTTATGTAGACCTCTGTGTGATTTTTCTTTGGGACCTAAGGACTGCAGAAACTGGGCAGGACAGAAACCTCTTAACTACAAATTAGGAATTCTTAAAGGGAGGAATTAGTTAATGTAAAGAGTTATTTTCACATTAAAAAAATGAGAAAAACCTTTACAATGGAGGGATTTGGGTCTCTGTATGATAAAATGATAGATAGTTTGAAAATGGAACAATTAAATGAGAAGGCATTTATGCAATTCAATTGTAAACATTATCAGCTTTATCATTTTTTTTTTGTCTTATCACTAAAAAAGTTGGTTTATCTGAGTGCTAAAATGCAGGCCTTAGAAAAAAACCTAATAAAACAGATCACAGAGATATTCAAATTGAGACAGAAGAATTTAATGGAGAGCCAATTTCAGCATTGCATTATAAGAATAGGGAGGAAAAGCCTAAGCTTTTCAGACAACCAATATTAATATATTCAGTAAGCTTACAGGAATCGCCGAATGGCAGAGGCACTGTTACAACAAACTGTATTCCTATGCCAATATTAGATTAAGGAGATTCAAGGAAGTAATAGTCTCATATGGCATGCATTCACCTTTTGTGAAACAAATATTAAACTCATGGTCAGTTTGTAATAGAATTATCCCTAAAGAATGGTTAGAATTGGTTAAAGGTGTTTTAGAGCCAGGTCCAAAATTACAATAGAGTATGTGGTTCAGAGAAGAAGCAAAGATTATTGAACAATGGAGTAAAGCTAGAGGTAGGGAAATCTCCCAAGATCAAATTCTTGGAGGAGAATATGCTACTATAAAAAGACAAACTGTAGATGATGACCATATCCTGGATTTATGCTGCACAGCAGCTTTGAATGCTTGGGACAGAACTGGAGAAAAGGAAAGAAAATTGAGTCATTTGCTAAAGTTATACAGTGCCTAAAGGAAGCCTTTATGGATTTCTTACAGAGATTGGCTTCAGCAATAAATAGAATGATACCAAATGCAGAAACTAGACAAATAATAATTGAATCTCTAGCATTTGAAAATGTTATTTCTCAATGAAAAAGGATAATTAGGCCACTAAAAACAAGGTCAGCACCTTTGGAGGAATGGACTTGAGACATCATTAATATTGAATCTTATGACTACGATGATATGGATAGTAGTGGAGATTTCCAGAGGTTAAAGAAAAATAAAAATGTCAAATGTAATAACTGTGGCAAACAAGGTCACTAAAGTGACTGTAGACAGGGCATTCCTAGAAACAATGTTTTTTTCTAAGAAAATCCATTCAGAATGTCCCTCCCTTCTGGATTATGTAGAAGGTGTGGCAAAGGTAAATATTTGACTAATGAAGGTAGGTCAACAAGGAATACTCAAGGTAATCCAATCCTTTGCCATTAGAAAACTCCATGAGGGGCCTCTCACAGGATCCTATGCCAAATTTAGTTCAGTCATTTCCTGCCATCATAGAGGAAACTCCTCCTCAGATCAATTAAAGAACCTAATGCCACACACACACACACACACACACACACCAC